GGAAATTTAAGGGTCCTAATAACTGAGTGTAAAGTATGGACCTTGATTTGAAAAAGCCAATGCAACAACAACAACAAAAAGCTGTGAAACACTGGAGAGTAATTTCAACACTCACTAGATTCTTCATGATAATAAGAACGTGACTGAGGTACTCTGTTCACCTATTTTTTAAGAGACTACTTTTCAGAGAAAATTTCAACAGTGAAAAGTTTCTTTAAAAACTAAAATTTGAGTTCAGGTAACTGGGAGACTGGTTCAATATGCACAATTAAAGATACCAAAGACAGAGGCTACCAGAGCGTGGGAAAGGTGGGTGCTAGAGGGATGGAGAGAAGACGGCTGCTTAGAGGGCTGCAGCTGGATAGAACTATCTCAAAATAACAGGTAGAGAGCACTTTGAATGTTTCCACATGAAGAAATGAAAATTGTTCAAGGTGATAGGTATACCAATTGCACTGATCTGATCATTACACACTGTATACATGTACTTACTGAAATCTCACACTGCACTGCATATGCATAATGATCGTGAGTCTGCTCAAAATTAGATATTATATAATATTAAATATTACATCAAGGATGTTCAGGTTTTTAGACTCTGTGTTTCTACTAGGATCTATCTTGCTGCCAGTTTCCCATGCCCCCATTATTAGAAAACTTTCAATAATAAATCTTTAATGAGAATGACAAAGGAAAACAGAACACACAGGCAAATACAAACCATCCTAGAAGTTTTTCCTGTGATTATTATATAAAGGTTCAGTTTATTAAAAAAAAAAAAAAAAAAAAAAAGGAGACAAGCAATCAACAGCCCTAAGAGATTAAAGATTGCTCTTCCACACCATAACTAAAAATAAAACAAGGTGAAAGGCAACAAATAATCTCTATACTTACACAGCCCTTTTAACTTTAAAATTCTTTAATATGAGTCACTTATCTCTTGACTTTAACAAAAATCCTGTAAAAGGAACAGGAAAAAGTGTCATTTCTTAAAGAAAAGTAACACAAAGAGGTCACAAAATGAGTTAATGGCAGAATCCAGGTCTCTCTATCCCTATTCTAGTGCTTCTTCCATTTACAAGTTTCCTTCTTATCCAATTTGGCTTAATTACTCGGTATAAAAGAAAAGCCTGCTCAGATCTCTTTTATTAGCACTATAGTTAGAAATACCTGATATGTGGCTCAGTAAAGAAAATTACTGACAATCTGTTGAGTATTACTCCATGCTGGATAGTTCCCAAGAATATAGTTAGTAGAGACTGCTCAGAATGGTTTGGAAGAGCCAGAAATTAGGACACACCCACCTATCAAAAACCACTGATAGGGGAAAAAGAGAAATATCACATTATGTTTTTGAACTTAAAAAATTTGTGTATATATGTATAAAGATATATATGTTTTGGAAGGCAGGGATAGAAAGAACCTTATGTTTTAGACAGGAACCCTATTTTGTTTTCCAACTTAATAGATTGACATTTATCCCATTTATTTAAATATGTCCCAACTTTAACTGAAAGTACAGACTAGGAATACTGTATACAAAATGTGTGAACATTTATCTTGTTAAATGTAAATAATCAAATAATAACTCAGATTTGTACCTTTCCATCTACTTCGACTCAGCAAAAGTACAGCAATAGGTCCTACATAGCCTGAGAGTGGGTCCACAAATGCTGTACTTTAAAAAACTTGTTCCCGTCCTCATTGTGGTCTAGGTTGGTTTATATTTGTAATCCCATGGAGAAGTGATTGGAATTCTAGCAAATTAATTCCAATCTACCACTTCCAGTACAACCCAAAGCAAGAATAAAAACACTAAGACTAATATATACAGTCATGGGGAATCAAAGGATACTAAGTCCAACCAAGAAGATGTTTCACCTAAACAAACCCAGAGTCCTTCCCAGGTTTTACTAGTTCTCCATGAGGGGACTGGCTCAGGGATGAGTGAGAGTGAAAGTGGCAGGAAATAGGTGACTGCCATGATTACCCTGAGCTGGACTGGATAGGAGGTCTGAGATATCCTCTGCCCTAAGCAGAGGGCAAGACATGCTGAGAAAGCACATAACATAACTGAGGTAGCTAATAATCTGGGGTCGGTGCCTCAGTTCTGATGTATAGTTCTTTTTGCCGTGGGAAATCATCCGTCTCAGGTGACGGCTCTCCATCCTACCTGGCTCAACCACATATTTGGAGAGTCACTGGGCGGGTAACACTGACCTGTCTCTTTGCTTTAGAGACTACATATCACCTCCTCAATCAGCCTAATTTATACTGCTTAAAGCCAATTGAAGGGACAAATAAATGGCCTAATCAGCTCTGTACATATCAATACACGGAGACACCGCTGAGTTTATCCAAAATGAAGATAGTTGCTCTTCTTTTCAAGAAGAGTCATCTCTGTGGTTCCTCCACACTGTTCCTAGGAAACTTTCAGTTCATCCACTCTCATGATGAACACTCAACAATGTCATGGACTACTTGCTCCAATTACTTTTTCCAGGTAAACACCAGAGGACACATGCAAAATTCCTTATCAGTAGAGGGATGGAAGTAGAGGTGTCATCATCAGCTTTGAGCGTACTGTGCTGCCCATTTGAGCGTACTGTGGTTCCCATGTCCTTTGCTAATACAGAAACTTTATGCTTTCAAACTGTCTAATATTTCTTCTTTCAACTGTCTAATATTACACAGTGGCATCACTGTCAATCATGAAATGAGCAGCCATGCACAACATTACTTCAAATCATTGGAGCTTTGCCTTAGAAACTTTTCCACTTAGGGGTCTCCCTAAAATGTCTGAAACTCTATAGACAAGCCACTGCCAATGAAATATCTAAACTATTTAGGCATACCTGAGAAGAGGAAAGCCTACCAAACCATCATTATGAATGCCCCACGAACCTACAACTATTTTAGTTAAAATACAAATTGATTGGGAGCAACCTCTTTCTAGTCATTGTCTCTGGATAACTTAGACACAAAATTTGGAATAGAATTAACATTTACATATCACCTATTGATATGTACAATGAATTCTGCTACCTACTTTATAAATCCTCTCATTTAATCCTAATACTCTTCCCATATTTTCACTATAATTCTCCTCTGATAAATTAATAAAACAAGATTGAATAATGTTAAATCACTTTAGTAGAACCAAAAGTTGACCCTAAGTCAGTAAAACATTGTTATGACTTGTTCATATTAGCCTGTTGGCTTTCCAAAAGAGTTACGACTTACAACACCACCCGAAATAAGGGTATTTCTTTTTTTTGTCTTTTTGTCTTTTTCCTTCTTATTGGTACCAGGGATCAAACTCATGACTGCCTGCTTGCAAGGCAGGCACTTATGCCGCTGAGCTAAATCCCCAGCTCCTAATAAGGCTATTTCTCATAGAATTTTTTTAGTGGAAAAAACTAGTAGTTCTAATACATAACAAAGTCTACCAAGGCTACCATAACTGAAACCAATTTAACTGCATTCAGTAAGTTCCTCTTTTCATATATCCTAAACTGGCAGTCCATGCCAAATCTCTCTTTCCAACAGCTGGACTTTGTGTGGTAAGAGAAGAATAATGTTTTGTTCAACCATAGCATCTTCAAATATTAGGTATACGGAAGAACACCACTCAGATTTCAAAATCTATGAGTAATATTTTTAGAAATTTTCCCAGACAGATTTATGCTAGGATACCTTAAAGTAATGAACATTTGAGTTTTACTATAATATGAAGAATTCCAAAACATGTAGGCTTCTATTTACTGAAAGCACTATACAAATGGACTTAACAGTAACACATAAAAATTTTCCTCGGGACTGAGGATTTAGCTCAGCGGCATAAGCGCCTGCCTTGCAAGCAGGCAGTCGTGAGTTCGATCCCTGGTACCAATAAAAATGAAAAAGACAAAAAAAAAAAAAAATTTCCTCTAGCCAGGTGTGGTGGCACATGTCTGTAATCTCCGCCACTCAGGTGGCTGAGGCAATTGCCACAAGTTCAAGACCAGCCTGGGCTACATAGTGAGTTCAAGCTCAGCCTGAACTGCCTAACAAGACCCTGTCTCAATAAATGAATAAATAAATTTTAATTATAAATTTATTATACATTTTATTATATAACCACTGGTAAGAAAATATGGATAAGTTCTCGACTTACTACATGCCAAATGCTTTACAAGTATCTTTTCATTTTGCATACAAAAGCTAGTGTGATTATCATCCTTATTTTATAAACAATGAAATATGGTGAGAAGCCATATATCTTGGTCAAAGTAACACTGCCTCAAAGTGGTGGAGCAAGAACTCAAATCCAATCTGTCCACTCCAAAGCCCATGTTCTCTGCCATCACTGTTCACTGCCCTTCCCATTTTTATTTGGTAAATATATTCTGGTCCTTAATTCCAAAATCACTAGACACTCATGGACACATACTTAAACCTATTTTTAACTACATCCATTAATTTGCTATAGCTTCTAAAGTAAAATTATTAAGAAGTACCTGAAGATTTGCCATCAGAAAAATTCAAATAAAGCACAAACATTCCTAAAATTCTGAGAGGTCCAAAACAGACAATTCACAAAACAAAAACTTTTTCAATGGTTCAGAGTTATGCTTACATTATGAACATAGTATGACCAGGAAATCATCTTAAGAAAATTCAGTAATTTGTTTTTTAAAAAAATCTCATTACATTAAATACTTCATGACTAAACTGCACATTAGATTTTGCTCTTTTATCTGAAGTTTTATACTAGCCAAGTAACAGATGTAACTGTATTATAACTAGAATAATTTAAAATTTCTTAATTGTGTTTATCTCCTATAATCTAGTATTTCAAATTTAATAGCATTCTCCAAATATAAATCCTTCAATCTCTTAGAACATGAATCAAAATACATAAAATTTTTAATGCACAGGATACAGTTGAAAATAGCATATTGACAGGCAACATAAAAGTCATATTTTTAAGGTAAGTCAAAGGAGAGATTAGATCTTACCTCCATTGCTAAAGCTGCCGTCTGTTGGTCATAATGATTCAGAAGATTAGGCATGAAGGTAGAATTATAAGGCAAATCTTGGCACATCCTCAAGGTAATAGGTTCACAAGAAAATAAACTGTGCCCACCTATATGCCCCACAAGCACAGTCAACAGCCAAAGGTAGAAGACGATCCAACTTCTAGCCATTCTTCCTGGATCTGCTGAGATCTGGATGGTCAGGCCTACTCAATATGTATGCTAGGTCAACATATGACTGCAGGACTCAGCTTGAAAGTACTCCTGTACTTCACTGTTAAGTTCTTCGAACAGTTAAATACTCTGCACCATCAGAGATTTGTTAGCTTGGTCTCACAAAAGGCATTTGTTTTTGGTTTCACAATATGGGAAAATGACATCATCTTGTCTCTTCATTTTATTACAGAGGGCACATCTGGCCAACATGTCAAGTTGATCAACCACATTCCCAAATCACAGATTCCATCTTAGGAGAACTATTTCTTCCTCTGATTGAAAGATCTGAAAAGTATTATTTAAAGAGAGAGATATTAGTCATTTCTTCTCAAAATATGTCACCTTGATATCAAAATCTTTGATGAAACATCATGCACACCTAATAGATAAAAATACACTTCATGAAGATACAATTTTTCTACTTCGTCATTTATGCTATACACATACTAAAACAGTCCTAAAATAGCATTTTCTCTTCTTAGCTCTTGTATGACACTTGGTTTTACTTCTTGTCTCTGATGGTAATTTTTCATTTGTCACAAGATATAACTGATCCTTTTTGAAAAATTCTTATGGTTTTTCCCTAAATTTAAATAAAATTGTTATAACCTATATTATTGAAAATCTATTGTGTGCATTAATTATTAATTGTACATTTTTTACATGAATCAATATGGCAGAAGGCATCTGTGAAACATCTAAAAAACTAATCAAAAGATACATTTGAGGGGCTGGGGATTTAGCTCAGCGACATAAGTGCCTGCCTTGCAAGCATGCAGGCGTGAGTTTGATCCCCAGTACCGATTAAAAAAAGGAAAAAGATACATTTGAGCCTCTTACAAGCTGTATGAATGTAAACATACCACTTAACTTCACCAAACTCGTAATTTTTCTTCCTGAAAATGATTCCAGTAACACCTCTTTCACAGAATGAATGATATATTAATGAATTAAGAGAAAGATAATAGGGGATAGGGATATAGCTCAGTGGTACAAGTGCCTGCCTGGCAAGTGCAAGGTCCTGAGTTTGAGTTTTAGTACAAAAAGGATAAATAAGTAAAAATATTTTATAAATAATAAAACAGTATCAAACACTGGGTACTTTTATTATTGAGTTACATTTTATAAAAACTTACAAAAAGTTACATTTTATAAAACTCTATTAACTAATACTGTAAAACAGAAGGTTCTAAAAGTAGTATCAGGCCAGGCCTGGTGACACATGCCTGCAATCCCAACACTTGGCAGGCAGAAGCAGAAGGATCCCTGTGAGTTCGAGGCCAGGCTGGACTATGTATTGAGCGCAAGGCAAGCCTGAACTACATAGTGAGATCCTGTCTCAAAAACAACAACAAAAAAAACCAATCAAAAACCTAGCATCAGGCAATTTTTCAACATTATATCATTTCTTTTAGATAGCATAAAATTTAATACCATAGAGTTAGCCCTTGATGAGAACCACTGAACAAACAAATGGTCACAGCACACAGTCAGGTTGCATAGAGAATAGAAATCATCCCTAAATCATACTAGCAATATCAATGATTCCCAGTTATTTCCGAAGAGCTTACAATCTCTGCCTTTTCCCTTCTTTCACGGAGACAAAAATATGCGTAATTCTCAATTAGGCATGTGAGCAAAGCAGAGGACAGGTGTGGTGTGAAAAGGCATATTCTAAGTTATCATATTTGATTTGGATTGGTATTCATGTTTATTTGGTTTTATTAAATTGTTTTATATGTACTGGATATTCTTGCATCTGCCATAGACAGCCTAAATGAGAAAAGACGAGCAATTCAGGTTCACAAATTCTCAGAGACCCAGGTTAACAAGACAACTGAAATAATGGCACCATCATAGCTTAGACCTTGAGACCTGCAACAAGGTTGGCCAAACCAGGGAAAGACTGTCCTTTACGCACTGATCGCCAATGACTGGGACCTCTGTACCCCCAGCTTCAGTTAGGAGGCAGAAAACTATTTTAGAAAGTAAAACAGGCTGAATCTTTCCAGATCCTAGGAGACAGTCTTGAGTGGTGGGAATGAAACGGAGTTTGGACTCCAGAATTAGCAACACTACGGTAATAAGCAATCCCTGATCAAAAAGTCCAATTCTCCCCAGACTACACCAGAGATTTCTGTGGCAGCTTCCCAATCTGCCTGATCTTCCTTTCGGGTTTGGTCCTAATAAAGTTAGGTCTGGCTATAGAAAACAGTTAAACACAAATTTAAGCTTAATTACTTTGCACCATGGTAATAGTCATGCAATTTGTTAACTATATGTCAAATAATGGTTAAAAGCCTTGTAGTTTACTGTTTATGCAGCAACTTAAAATTAAAGGGACTGTTGTTTCTACTTCATATACAACACGAAGAATTTCAAAATTTTCATTCAGATTAATTTCTTTCTTAAGCAGTTATGAGTTTCTTTTTCTTTTCTTTATTTCTTTTTCTTTCTTTTGAGAGAGAATTGTAAAATTATGTCCTCTGCTTATGTAGCTCAGGCTGGCCTCAAACTCACAATAATCCTCCTGCCTAAGTTTCCCAAGTGGTGGAATTACAGGTGTGTGCCACCACATCCGGCCACTTACGGATTTCATATCCATGGTTCAAAGACTACTTGAAGACTAAAACTAGAAGAAGAAACTGATCCAACCTCATAGTGTTTTTGAAATATGAAATGCCCTTTTATACTTCTGTCTGCTTCATCTATTTTACCTGATTTCCTCTCAGTTGCAAGTATCCTACATTCTTATAAAAGTGCTTCCAATGCCTGTCATCCAAATTACCTATATTAAAGTATTTTTATAAAATTTGTTAAACTGCAGACAGAAAATAATCTTAAAATGACAAGATTATCGTTCATGATTATTAAAAAGGGGGAAAGGAAGAATGGAATGTGGTAAACATAGAGAAAAGCACACAGATTAAAGTTTTTAAAGAATTTTCACGCCCCCCTCCCAACAGTGGTTCTCTACTGCAAAGTGTAATGCATTCAGGAATCCCTTCACAGGTCTAATAAATCTGAGTCCTGGAGAATGATACACATTCCAGTGACTCCCTTAGGTTACAGGTTCATCTTAAGTCAGATCTGGAGAAGCACTATACCAAAACAGAAAAATTCTAAAAGTAAAAGTATATAGTATATAATAACATACATAAAATGAGTTTAAAAATAAAAGCAAAATTAGAATTTTCTATTTTTAATAGAAGACTAAGCAGAGGCCATAAGTTTACAAAAGAGATACAAACAGCCTGTAAATCTGTGAAAAAATGTTTAACTTTACTAATAATAAAAAATGCAAACATAACACTTTTGACAGTCAAATGAACAAAAATAAAAATGATAGAACACAGAACAGGGTAGGCTATAGGAAAAGGAACATTTTCAACATCTTCTTATACTTTGGCTCAGAATGTAAACTAGATGATACTTTTTAAAGAAAAGGACTCTAGCGGACTTATAGTTTCTTGGTCTTTTGGCTAAAGACAATCCAGTATCTGTTTTTAACACTTTAAAAATGGCTATAGCTCAGCGGTAGCACATTTGTCTAGCATGTGAGGCCATGGGTTCAATCCCCAGCACCACAAAATATAAGTAAAATTTTTAAAAAACCATTTTTTGAATCAAAAGTCCTTAAAATATGTACAACTTGACCCAGAAAACTTTTAAATAATTTATTGCAATAAGCATATAATTACATATTTTGCATAACTAAAATAGTAAAGTAACACTGTTTATTACAAAAAACTGGAAGCAACCTACAAGTCTACCTGTGAGGGACCAATTAAAGAAATCATAGTAGAATATTATGGAGTCACTAAAAATAATGAGTGTAGCTCAATAGCAGAGTGTATATTTATCATGTACAAGGCCCTGCATTCACCCTCTGACACCAAAAAAAAAAAAAAAACCAATGCATTTATTGCCATGGTTATAAAAAAATTAAATTAAAAAAGTTTTAACCAACAGGGTGTGTATGTATTTATAACCCACTTTTACCAGAAAAAAATATATGTGAGGAATATAATTAAACTATTTCAATTATTTAAAATAATATAAATGTGCTACAGAATTTTATAAAAGAACCAATTTTATAAAAGAACCATTATTTTGTGTATGGAATAACTGCTAAATCCATGAATGTCTGCTGACTAGCTGACAAAAGTAAATACTAACCGAAGGCTTCAACCAGTTGACCTGCTACTTAAAACAAGCCAAGGGACATTACTTGTCCTACTGGAGGTAGTAAAAAAAGCAAAAATGTTATGATCAAATTAATATAATTCAAAACAATTTTTCAACACAAAAATAGATCAACTGAATCGAACAGTACACATATTTTTTAAAGCTTCTGACCCATATTCCAAATCACTCTTCAATAACATAAAATAGCTACTTCTAATCAGGACCATGCAAGTGTGGCATTTTTCCTAAGGTAAGGTCATCCAAGGAAAAGCTCTAAGTTCCAGACCTGCAGGATGTAGACAAGGTTCTGCACTGCAAAAGATCTTGCCAACATACAGCAACTCATTAAATAAAATATAAGTTAAAAAAAAAGAGTTGATTGGGCATTTTTACTGATACCATATTTTCATTCCAAGAATCTGCAGTATTTCAGCTGAAGAAAGGGACCTACCTGGTTAACATACCTGGAGTGAGCAGTTTCAAGCATAAGGCCCAGGCAATGGGAATGCTACGCCAATGCTGCTCATCCACTATCTGTGGAAAAAGAGGCACTTTCACTTCTCCATGAGCTACGTAAAATATTTGGAAAGCTGATTTCAGGTTAAGTGGTAGGTACTTTCCTAGTATTCTCAAGGACTTAGGTTTGAGTTTTCTTTTATTGATAATGAGTGAAAGTCCTTAAAGTAAGATCAGCTGAGCATTTGTCCTGAAGGACAACAACCAAGGCATGGGATGCAACTCTGGGAAGTTGCAAAGCCGGATCCAAAGAACTCAGGAACTACAAAGGTGAAAGCAAGCTGAATCTCTGAAGAAACTATAGGAAAAAACGGATCCTAAGGCCTCATGAAGAGGGTGTGGCAACAAAAGACTACATCCAGCAATTCCATTCCAATATTTTCTCTACAGAAAGGTATCTACTTCATTATTTTCAGTTTAGATGTCATTTTTTATATTGTTGTTTTGTGAGACAGGGTCTATGTAGTTGGGCTAGCCTTCAACCCGCTATGTCACCCAGCCTAGCCTGCAACTCTTGGTGGCCCTCTTGCCTCAGCCTCCCAAGCGCTGGGATTATAAAAGTGCACCACCATGCTAAGCTACACACAATTTTCTTGATACTGTGAATAAATAAAAATTTTGCATTTCTAATTCAAAACTATCATTTAAATGTCTCCAAGTACAGTAAACACTGGATATACACTCAGTGTGGCTATCAGTGGGAAAGTAAGGGATATTCTTTGTCTTTCACATTCATTTTCCAAGAATGCACTTGTAAGGAGTAGTGATCTTTATCTCTAGGAAAGTTTCTCCTCTAAAAGAAATTATTGTCTTATTATGAGATGAAAAATACACTCAAAATACACTCATTGTTCCAGGATTACTTTCCTTTTCCTAAATCTGTATGGAAACATAAATTCATTCTCAAAATACTGCCTCTTGGTTGCTATGACAGTGTCTGTAGCTTCACACTTAATTCACAGGACCTAGATTCCTACTAACCTCAGAGCATCTTTTCTGACCTTTCTTATTCCATATCTCTAATTTTCAAAGCCCATCTTCTCACCTGCTGATTACAACAAATCTAATCTCATGATGAATGGTAGGCTTTAAAAAAATAAAAACAAAGATATACAGGTTCACAATTAAAATGAATCATAAGCATCAAAGTTCAGCCCAAATTATAAATTATTAAATACTAAAGCTAAACAAAGCAGAAGATCTTTTAAAAATTAGCCTAGAAGGCCGGGAACTTAGCTCAGCAGCACAAAAGCCTGCCTGGCAAGCATGAGGTCTTGAGTTCGATCCCCAGGACCAAAAAAAAAAAAAAAAAAAAAATTAGCCTAGAAACAAAACAAAGTTAAAGGATGGATTAAATCCTGCACTAAAAAAAAAAAATTAAGAAAAAAGGAGGTCCAGAGGTTCAGTTCAGTGGTTTAAGTGCCTGCCAGGCAAGTGCGAGGTCATGAGTTCAATTCCTGTTACAAAAAAAAAAAAAAAAGCTCAAATTCCAGCAGTTTTCTTTTCCACCTAAAATGTTTATCAGAAAATTCTCCAAATTTTCATCAGAAAATATCAAGGCCTTGAATTTTCTCCCCCTTAATGAGGTTATATGGTTTGTATTCCTTGACTAAAGAATAACTTTGGTGAGGTAAAACTTAGAAACCTGAATCTGCTTAAGTGCCCTAGCCTAGTTACAGGCATCTGAAATTTCATTTGCAATGCATCCTCGAATTCACCAAACTGTCAACAGTTCCCAGCACGATGAACTGGAAAGCCAAGAGACAAAATTCATCTTTAACACAATAATTAAAACTCTTTCCTAGCTAGTGAAAAGCTGTTATCCTTCAAATATTTATTCCTAACCTTACTGAAAACCTCATTTTCTTTCAAGACTTTGGTACATGCTTCCCCTATATGGAATAATGTCTATATGGAATAATTTCTCCAGTACGCAATTTCCAAGTCACTCTTTTTTACTCACTGCTCTTTTCTGTGCACAGTTGCAGCTTTAAGCACAGGAATTCTAGAGTTTGGGGTTAAAGAAAAACTTGAGGCCAACACCACTCTCTCTAGTGATTGAAGCTAAATCTATATTAAGAACCACTTGTCTCCTAAGGAAAATAAAGTCAACAATAGTCCAATATCAATAAACTACCATGCTAAGAAGTTTTGAGTATAAAATCTTAGACTTTTACTAACAAACTAATATGAAATATTAGTGGGATGATATTTTTTCTGGAGGTCAAGTGCGAAACAGACAATGCATTGTGAGTAAAAACTCCTCTCTGCTTCCCCATGATAAAGCTTTTGCATTGTACTATGCAAAGAAAGAATGTGCACTCTACTATTAAATGCCTCTCAACCCTTTCTACTTCAAATATCTCAATCATGCAACTCCCCCCCAAAAATCCACCCAAACGAACAAAGCACAATAATAACGCTCAAAGACCAGGAAAGGAATTAAAAGTACCTAAGAGCCCACAGTCTGTCTGTCTGTCTTTTTCTTTCTTCCTTTCTTTCAAACTGGGAGACTGAACCCTGGGCCTTTCCACTGAGCTACATCCCCAGGCCTTTTTAGGTCATTAAGTTACCCAGGCTAGGCTGGAACTTGTGACCCTCTTGCCTCTGCCTCTGAGAGGCTGGGATTTCACTTCCTTTTATTAATGGGAGTGTTACAGATTTAGAAGCAAAATGGAGATAGAGAAAATTAGCAGTGAATGAGGGGGAATAGTAGAAGGAAAGGGAAGGTAGAATGGTAGGCTCTATCAAAAATTTACTTATTTTCCTACGAGTTTCAAGCATTTGGAGGCTGGGAGAAACACATTTTTACTAAATACAGAGAAATAAGGTAAGGGCTGCATGTAAGTTATAGTTTATTTTCAGTCCTACTTTCCCAAGCTCACCTAGTCAAATTTTTACATTTGCTTTTTAGACTTCCTTACTCTGAGTATTTTTACATTTATGCTTTGGTTTGATACTTCAAGTAGATGTTTTTTGTTTCCTGGAGGAAAATGATAATATTGATTTGCTTAAAAACAAAGATGGAAAGCATTATCTTTGGGAGTACCTGCTTCTTAGTAGCAAAACTAAGGGTTTGTCTATTTCTTTTCTAGCCTACAATGCATCCAGCATACCCCTAAGGGCTAAGAGGTAGCCAAGGAGGGACTTAATATCTTTGATGTCAGTCATGTCTTTGTTTCCTTGAGCCTTACACATTGGCTTTGCAAAGTAACCCAATTCCCATTAACAAACATTCCAGGTCTCTCAAAACGATTTTTCTAACGTAAGATTAGCGGGTAGTCGGCTCTGTTGCCTAAATCTTCGTTTTAGCTTGAGGTTGGGGGTGAGGGGGCGATCTCTTTCAAATTTTTTCTAACTTTAAACTCTACTCTGCCTAAATTAATAGCATGTGCTTTTATTTATCCCTTCCCCCCTGCCCCTTTAAAAAAAAGAAAGCCTTTTTTCTCATACAAGGGGAGGCATCTAACTCCAAGACTCCTATGATGCAAAAAGCCTCTAGGATATTGTTTACTTTTCTCGAAGCGACCCAAGACTCCTCAATCCTCAATTACTGCTAGCGATCGGGGCGCCTTTATTGCGGAGATCGCGCACTCTTCTAGGTCCAGCCTTAAGACCCACATCCCCAGCTCAGCAGAGGCGGCTGGCGGGGAAGACATTGGGGAAGGAGCCACCGACTTTGCAAACTGATGGGCTAGAAGAGACAACTTTCAGGCACCGGGCGGAGAAGGTGTGCGCGATGCTGACCGGCACCCGGCCGGGGGTGGGGGGTGCCGTCCCTGCGCGTCCCGGTCGGTAGCCGGCGGCGCGGACGCGGGGCGCATTGTCCTCGCACCCACGTCCCCGCGCAGGGCTCGGCCGGGCGCGCTCGGGTCCCCCGCGCAGGTCGGGCCGCGGGTCGAGTCCACCGCGTCCACACTCGCACAGGTTGCCCGGCGCGGGCGGGACGCACCGGGCGAACCGTCTCCCGGGGCATCTCCCCCACCTCCACTCCCGACCCCAAACTCAACGTCGCCGCCGACCCTTGCAGCCCACCGCGGGCCCAGCCGGCTCCCAAGAAGCCGCCCCGACCCCCAGCCCGGCCCGGCGCCCAAGGCTTTTGTTTTGGCCGCGACGGGAAAGAACGACCCTTAAAGAGGAGGTGCCGGGCTGCTGGCGGCTCCTCAGAGCGGGGTTAGGCGGAGCGCAGGCAACCACCGCGGTGTCTCCTCAGCCTCCGCACTCACCGCTCCCCTTCCCGCCCACCCGGCTCCGTGGGGCTCACCTCACACCTGGAGACTCCGGGCTCCCCGGGGCTGCAACGCCGGCCGCTCGCGGCCGCTGGTCCCTGAGGTACCCGGAGCTGCGATCTCCGCCGGTGCGCGCCTCGGAGCAGCCGCGAGCTTGCGCGAGCGCCGAAGCGCGCGGTCCCTGGAGCGAGTGCGCGCGCACGCACTGCGCAGGCGTGCCGCGCACGCGCGATGGAGCCTTTCATTTGGAGTTAGGGTTGCTAGGTGCTTCGTTGTTCTCACGTCGGCGCCCTGGGTGACCCTTTGAGAGTCCTTCACCGACGCAGTAGTTCCTACCGCTGGAAGCTTGCGACTGAAATGAGCTTTGCACTCTTTGCGAAGCAGTCTTTCCTCTGTTGCAACGGCGGGTCTCCCCACGATCGTCCTAGCCTGGGAAGCTAGAACTGCAACACCCCAGCACCTGCTCTGAGAGTCCATGTGGTGACCTAGGGACCCGCGGTCACGGGTGCTGCAGGTCACTGGTGCAGGCAATACGCCGCGCACTTAGGCGTATAGCAGCGCTCCACACTGAAACAGAGCTGCAGACAGGGACGGAGTACTCGCCCAGGGAAGTTACATCCTCTTTATCAGGACTTTATTAAAAGTGGTGGAGCCTGTGGTTTTGATGGAGAGCCCCATCTTTTGCTCCTTAGGAAAGGTTTCTCATCTCCTTTTCTACGTAATGACTTGAGAACTGAGAGAGTCCTTAGAGAACCTGGGTTTTCAAACGCCCATGAATGTTAGGTGGCTTTCGCTTAGCCACGCTGCCTTCTAATGACAGTCTGCACTCAAAGCCATGGTTGTTTTTCTCTTTACTACACAGCTTTGCCTAGCTTGCTTTCTTTTCCTTGTCATCTCTTTTCAAATTAGTATCATTTTGTCCAGTTGGTAGCATACAGGCCTTAGTAATATTGATCCTCTTACACAGCATGAATGTACTTAACACTTAAAAATGGATAAGATGGTGACGTTTATGGATATTCTGGTTTTTAAAAAAAGTTCTCGAATATTAAGTATTGAAGAGTCATGAGCTTAAATATCAAAAGTATGTTTTGTGAACAAGCATGATAAGATCTGAAATGACAGTTTTCTTAATAAATACCCACCTGTGCAGTAATTCTTAAACAGTAGTATCGATCCTATCTGGGTGGATGATTTTAATCACAGTCCATGAGAGACAGAGGCAGGAGCATCTTGAGTTTGAGGTCAGCCTGGATACCTAGCAAGGCCTTGTCTCAAAATTTTAAGCCATAAAGGTAATACTGATCCTTACTCTGATTCTAGACTAGGTAATATGGATCCATAGGCTGATTCAGTGTGTCCTGGGAAGCCAGCAGTGTCTCTAATGAGGGGAACATATCGGACAGGGTTTGGAAGATTTCTGTGTGCCTGCTTTGTTTTCTTCCAGATCCACCGTGGCTGAGAAATCGCTGGAAATCTGCTGCTAGGTGCATTTTTATTCAACTTACAGATCATCTAATAAACACTGTCAGACATAGGACATACCATAGATCACATCCAGGGATTACAATGATGTAGAAATGATCATAAATATATCACAATCAAGTCTCAGAAATACATTATTTAGTGAAAAAACAGACTTCAAAATATGTAAATGATGTCTTTTTTTAAAGCCTAGTCTGAAAAAGCAAACATTTATTTATGTATTGTTTATATTTATCTCTATATAGATTATATATATATGATAAAAATAAGCAAGAAGGCTACCTATTAGTTTCCTAACAATGACAACCTCTAGGCAGATACGGTAGGGGATAGATTGGGGAAGTCTCCAAAAGGGGCTTCCACTGTATCTATTAAACACACACAAATGCACACCCAGTGTAAAAGTTAACATTTTAAAAATATCTCCACAGTGATTCCAAGTGTTTCTTATGAAGGTCTCTAAGATATTCTTTATGTTCAAGTTGTTCTGTATGAAAACAATACTGAGTATTACAGACACTGAGCTACAGTCTGTGTGCTTAATATGAACACACAGGGAATGGGTGACTCACTTCCCTTTGGGGGAACAATAGTCAAACAGATGCACTGCAGGGCAGAAGGAGGTCCAGAAGGTGCTGTCTGGACAAGAGACAAAAGGGACCTTTTATCGAGGATAAAAATATGCAAGTCCCACAAGGCTAACATGAGATGCTGTCTACGTCTCTTGCTTTCCTTCATCAGTAGAAAGTCTTTAATGAGCTGGAACTTCACAGAGAGGCACAGGCTCTTGACACTGTTAAAACCGGCTTCTTTCTGGATGAACTCGTTCTGAAACCATAAATGTTAACTGGTAATGCATGGTAATTTTGTATTTCACGAACCTACCTCCCTGCACCACCCCCTCACACCCCCAAAGGCTTTGTTTATTCATTTCCATACAACCTGGTCATGTGGAAAAACCACGAGGCTAGAATTCACACAACCTAGGTTCTAATTTCAGTTTGGCCACCTTCTAATCCTTTGTGAACTCAGGAAAAGCATCAACCTCTATGGGCTCCACTTTTCTTCTATTCAAATGGGAGATATTTAAATGCTGCCTGCTTAAAAAGTAGGAGACACAACATAAACACGAGGTTTGTATATTTGCTTAAACTGAAGGAGCATACACTATTTTAGGAAACAAAGATAAAGAGGAGGGTTGTTATTTTTGTGGTTGGTATTGTTTGGGGATTTTGTGGCTGTTGTTATTTGCCATCTGCTGCAGGTGGGAACTGCTGTGCATTAACTGACAAAGCCTGGTTCTGGGAAGGGGACCTTCGTTGTATTCTTGCATATAGCACAGCTGTTAAGACTGTAAAGCCTTCCATTAGTTAGTTATACCCCGCATTTTCCAGTTTTCTTCATTAGACTCCGCCCCCATATTCTCATTCTGATCATTAGAGAGTGGGTGTGCAATAAATTTAATTAATTAAATTAGACCAGGTTTTTAAGAGCCCCAAATTTAGAGTTACTCTAATCTTATTAAGGCATGGCATCAGGTGGTTCCCTCATGTACCTATCACCCTGTCTGAATTTCATAATCCCGATAAACTGAAATCGTGCAGAAGCACTTAGTGTGTGTGTTTGGGGCAGTTCTCTCCTGTCCTCCCACTTCCTGCTGCAGGTGCTATTCTTCCCTTGAACCACACTGGAATTCTCTTCCTCCAGCTCTCTTACCTCTCGGTCACTCTTAAAACCTGGCAAAGTGGAGTTTGCATTTCGGAGTTCTGGAATGCCAGAACAATGAGACTGGACGAGCTCAATGGATAAGGGCTGATTCGGAACACAACGATCACTTGTCTTGGAGCAAAGTTTTCAAAGCCACGTGTTTCAGGGCTGGGTGCGTCTTAGTCGTAGCAGTGGGAATGTCGCGGCCCCTCCCCCTCGCTTGGTGCCCACACCTTTTCCTTTTATCTCTGAGCCCAATTTTGGAGCCAGCCCTCTAAGATGCCCTGGCCAATCAAGAGACCACACATTGTTGCCTAAGAGACCCCGGATGCCAGAGATGGGATTTCTAAATGATGATTGGACTACTGGAAACTGGGAGGTGGGAGCTGGAAGCAGGCAAAGGAAAAGCTGATCGGGTGCAGCTATGGCAACTCCAGCGCTTGAGGCTTGAAGAAGGAGCCCTGCTACCAGAGGTGAGAGCAGCGGCCGTGCATGAAAAAGCTGATCTTTTGGAGCGCTTTAGGGCCTCCCTCAAGCCGTGTCAGTATTCGGGGATTACTGTTCCGTTGCCAAACGTGAAATTAACACCTAACAATCACATCCCTATGGAGCTAGCACTTTGGACCGCATGATAGTTCTTGCTTTGATTTTAACTGGTTGAGTATAAGATGCATTCATATGTGAATCTACCCACATCCTATTTCCTGAGATTCCCTTGCCTAATGATATTAGTGTATGGTGGGCGAATTATGTCTTAGCAGAGAAACTCAATCCTACTCAGATCTCTAAACTCCAAATAAAAATCTGGTAATCCTGATTATCACCCCAGTTCCCAGTTCCTAATGTTCTGAGTTCTGCTGTACAATTCCACTGGCGTTAATCTTTTCACTGCTACCCCCTCTGCTGCTATATTGATTCTTTTTTATTGATTTAACAAATATTTATTGAGCTTCTGCTATGTACTGTTGTGATTAGGATTCAGATGACCAAGGTCAGAAAGAAACACATAGGCAGAGAAGCATCAAGGTTTTAGGCCATGTTTTCAGTGCTAAGGTGTTCAGTGTGTCTGGAAAGAGCTATAAGAGAGAGAGGATGATGCCTGAGGAGGTTGAGGAACAGTCCTAGTGGACTCTGACTTCTGTGCTAAGGAGTCTGGATTTTGTCACCATTAGCAAGCCTCAAAATTTTTAAATTGAAAGGTGACATGATCAACCGGCCTTTCAAAAACTTGCTTCTCTCCGATGAATGAACTTTCACATGAAAGTAGAAACTCATCTTTGTACCCCTAACTCAAGCCTCATAGATCCTAAGTAAAGTTGTTGGATAATGGTTAGCATGTAGCTGGGCAAGGTGGAGCACTCCTAGCACTCTGGGAGGCTGAGGCACGAAAAGCACAGACTTGAGCCCAGCCTGAGTAACTTAGAGAGCTAGTGAGAACCTGTCTCTAAACAAATAGACAGACAGACAAACAGTCAAGGATGTAGCTTAGTGAGAAGGCTTCAGTGTCCCGTATCAGCAGAACAACCAATAAATGAGTAAAGAGCAGTGCCTTGAAGAATTGCTTAGAAGACCAGACAGGAAGTATGTGACCACAGAGGACCAAGCCTGACTGTTGAACATGGAGCTCGTACCATACACCGTGGGCAAGGGCCTTGGGCCCTCTTTGTACATTTTATCTCAAGAAACATTCAAGGGAAGTCATTATAAGAGGTCACAAGAAAGCTGTAGTGAGACCCATCTGTGGAGGGATAGACAACTGGCTTTGTCTGTTAACAGAATGGCTCGATTTTTGTGCATGTTGTGTAATAGTGCCTGGCGGTCTATACCGTGAACATGTGTGTATATGCAGATATACACACTACCCATCGTCTGGGGTGAAGAAAGGAAGGAAACATTTGAAAGGATAACACCAAGCTGGGCATGGTGGTGCATGCCTGCACTTCCACAACCCTCAGTGCTGAGGCAGGAGAATCCCAAGGTAGATCTTAGTCTGGGCAGTTTAGTGACTTAGAAAGACCCTGCCTCAAGAAGGGAGAATGTGGAGTGGAAAGGTAGCTCAGTGTGAAGTCCCCAGGTCCAATCCCCCATTACACACACACATACGGATAATAACAAAAGATAAGGTAAGGCAGCCCCCCCCCCACACACACATACACACTACTGGAGGACCCTGTCTTTAAGAGTAGTGCTTCTGGCCTTCTGAAAACCATATCCTCCTCTAGCTGCTTTAAGGAACCCTAATCCAAACAATTTCTAGCACTGAGGAACCAGCAGAAAGAACACATCCAACATAGACCCTTGGGGTATCACGAAGAACCTATATATTTCATCCTCATTTAGACACGGTGCCTAGAATAAGTTAGAGGGTTTTTGATCCAAATGAGGGGTGGAAAGCTTCTCAGTATACAGCAGGAGCTTTTAATGTGGAGAATTAGAAGTCAATGCCTTAAAAAGAAGAAAAGTAGAACATACCTAAATAACACCAACAAAACCGGGCGTGGTGGCTCACGCCTGTAATCGCAACACTCAGGAGGCTAAAGCAGGAGGATCTTTGAGAGTTTGAGACCAGCCTGGGCTATAAAGTGAGTTCAAGGTCAACAACCTAAACTGCATAGAGAGACCTGGTCTCAAAAAGACAAAAAACAAACAAACAAAAAAACAGGTCTAGACTCAGTGGCCTTACCTGGCTCTGTCATTCATCTGATCAGACATACTTTTGTCAGTGGCTGCCAATTAATTAATCCTGTTCTGACATCATCTCTTTTTTTTGGTACTGAGGATCAAACTCACCACTTGCGAGGCAGACACTTACAATACTGATTCAAATCCCCAGCCCTCTTTTTTTTTTCTTATACCTTTTGTAACGAAACTGAAAACTCAATAGCTTGTATAATCAGCCATTAGGGTCTGAGACGAACCCCAGGGCTAACCTGAGGTCCCTTCTTCCATGGTGTGGTGGCAGCAGGTAACAGTGGGAGGCATCAACTAACCACCCCATGAGGGTATAAAAACATTGATTCCATCCTCAGCCACAGCTTGAATCTGAGAGAAAACTTATGTCAAGTGAGGGCCCTGAAGCTTCAGATGTAGTATCTGGGCAACTCCCATCTGAGGTGAAAAACAGTGATTTTAAAAAAACTTGGGGCTGGGGATTTAGCTCAGCAGCATAAGCGCCTGCCTTGCAAGCAGGCAGTCGTGAGTTCGATCCCTGGTACTGATAAAAAACAAAAACAAAAACAAAAACTTGTCCAGCGTCCACTCTGTAGGGTCATTTGTGGAACCTCTAGATCAGGTGGCGGTCAGTCACCTCCTCCTGTGTGGGCAAACCCCATTCAGAGGCAGACAAGGTAAAAACAGGGTACACACTGAACTGCTCACCTGTGTTCTCTGTTTCCCACCTTAAAATATGTCATCATGACCCCCCAAAGGACAGGTCCCAGGCACTCTGTGAAACAAGGTCTACCAGAGGCTGCGGAAGGTTTCCATGCACTGAGGCCACCCAGCCACCATCCACTCTGCAGGACCTCTCTTCCCTCTGTCACCACAGCAGTCGAAGGTGAATGGGTGCATCCTTACCGTACAGATGAAGAAACCGGGTCAGATAGGTTGATTAACTGCCAGAAAATTACACACTCAGTGTTAGAGCTAGGATTAAACCTATGTATGCTAAAATTTTTAAAATGTTGATTGCAATACCAGGAAAACATTCTGGCTAACAGGAGCAAAAGAAGCAGCTTGTTGCAAGGAGTTCAGGTAGCTCACAAAACGGAACAAAAGAACACAAGGCTTTGTGTTTGGAGTGGGGGGTAAAGTAGCAGGGACAACATAGCAGTTTGCTCGGGGCACTAGTGCTACCTGGAATGGCCACCTCATCTGTAAAATAAGGATCAGCTATGGTCCAACAGCACTGTGGTCTCATCATCACCTCTTTTTTAATTTTTAAAATGTGATGCTGGGGTGAAACCCAGGACCTTGTGCATGCTAGGCAAGGGCTGTACTGCTGAGATACATCTCTCACTCTTTTTATTTTGAGAAAGGTCTTGCTAAGTTGCCCAGGCTGTCCTCTGTTTTGAAGCCCTCCTGCCTCAGCCTCCTGAGTAGCTTGGATTATACCACACCTGTGTTTATCACCACCTCATGGCAGGGGAGGGACTACAGGTGGTCCCAACATACAGGTGAAGATGAACCCCTGCACACCCCTAAACCTTGATTAACCAACTCAGCAAATAATAAACCATTTGGGAAAATAATTCCTCTTGCAAATTAAAGTGCTTTAATGCAAAGGAGGCAGACTGTATATGAGACAACTAAACCCAGAAGATTCCCCCACCCAAAACTCAAGTCTGTCCCTCCCCAAAGCCTTGGCTTTGTCCATTATACCATTCCACCTCTTAAATGTGCAGTGGACTATAATGCATGTTACATAGATCTCAGAAAGTAAGGAAAGTGAACAGGCATGAAGTATTTTACATGGCATGATATGATTCTAAACTTTAAACACTTCCCTCCAGCCGGTGAGGTATGTTCTTAGGTAGGAGCAATTCTGGCTGTCTCTCCCCCGTGATATAGTGAAAGCAGAGGTAGCCTGACCTTGGTCTGAGTCCCAGCCTTACTGTTTACTCGGTATGGCCTTGGGCAAGATCATAACTTCAGCAGATCTTACTGTTTTCTCCATTTGCGAGATGAGCTAACATCCTCCACTGCACCAGCTTATGAGCCTGGATTGAGCTGATGCAAAGTGCTCAACAGAGAAGATGCCCCCCAAAAATGTTCTTCCCACCTGTCCCCTCTCAACATTCCAAAAAATTTACATTCTGAAGACAACTGGATTATTTGTTCTTCTAGGTGTAGCCCTTCTTATGGAAGAACACTCTGTTATTTCATGATGGCATTTGCCCCTCCAAAAAGCATAGGTGGCCCCAAAATGCAGACAAAGATGAGCACATGGACACCATTAAACCATCAGCTGTTGAATGATCGGGTAAGTGGCCAGAGGTATTTTATCAATTGGATCCGTGCCTTAAAGAAAAATAATAAAATTTTGCTTATTGACATAAGCACAGGAATTGCTTAGGATTGTACAATGGATGAAGAAAAGACTAAAGCATTTATTTAGAACAACTTTTACTCACTGTCTGCAGTATGGGCAAAGCCAGCCACAGACACAGGCTCACTGCCTGAGAAGAAAATGCCTTTGATTTGTTCTTTCCTGCATGGTCACTTCCCCTGTCTCCTATCCTGTGATGTCTTTCTCCATTACTGGTTCTTCCTCTGGGACCACTGAGATTGAGAGTGGAGTCTGCAAGGAGTTTTATAACAACAGGTTTTCTAGCCGGACTTGGTGGCCTACACCTGTAATCCCAGCACTCAGGAGGCTGAGGCAGGAGGCAAGTTTCAGACCAGCGTGGGCTACAAAGTAAGCCCCAGGCCAGCCTGAACTGCATAAGAGACCCTGTCTCAAAAACAAACAAACAAACAAACAAAAAACAATAACAACAACAACAAAAAAAAACCCTAAAACAGGTTTTCTGGCTGGAGTTGAGGTCACTGGGTAAGGCTGAATGTAGAATGCAGCCAGTATAGAAAATGAGTTAATTTTTTTGTTTTGTTTTTTGGTACTGGGGATCGAACTCACAACTTCACGCTTGCCAGGCAGACACTTATGCCACTGAGCTAAATCCCTGGCATGAGTTAATTTCAACCAAGTACTTACAATACTCAGAGTACTCTGGTTCTCCTAAAAAGTTTGTTTCCTGGCTGCCTTCCGGCGAAGCAGGAATTCACCAAGCAAAGGAGTGCAGTGTCTTGCTGGGGTGTAAGGTTGGCCAGACTCTGGGAGTTTTATTCCTGCTCCCTGGAGGGCCAGAATCTCGAGCTCCTGGGAGCAATGCCTGTATATCAGGACCACATCCAATTGGCAGTAAAATACAATCAGAGTGCCTAGAACTGACCTTGTTACCTTACTTGCACACATCAGTTTCTCTTCCTGGAGAAAACAAACAGCCCTTTTCACCTAGCTACTCAAGCAGGAAATCTTTTTCCTCAGTGGGTCTTGGATTTGATTTCTCCCAGTTTAATAAGTTAATATTTAGCTTTCATTAATGGAATTAAGAAAGTCATCCTGAGGCCCAGGATGAGCCTCCCAAAAAAACCAGCCCCATTTTTCCCACCCCAAAGGATAAATACCAAACCCCATGGGCATCATTGAGGCCCCATCATGTTCTACCTCAGCCAGTCTCCTAGTCCACCCACTCGTGTCTCCACTCCTCAGGCCCCAGGATCCCCTGAACCCTGCTCTGACACAGTCAGGAGAGTCAACTCCAGTGTATCTCCCCTCTGCTGCCCTCCCAGGCTCCCCGCCTCCTGTTCGCGGGCCTCCTATTTGTAGCTTCCTCCTTCCCCTCAAAATGCTTTGAAGTGAGCCCAGCATGGTGGCACACACCTACCTATATTGCCAAACTTGGGGGCCCAAGGTGGGAGAATCACAAGTTCAAGGCCAACCTGGGCTATTTAGCCTAAACTACAGAGTGAGACCCTGTCTCAAAACAAAACAAAACAAAAAAAACACCCTGGGGACCCTTGTTTTTCTTTCTTTCTTTCTTTAAACCTCCAGGGCCTGATTTGGCTCTTGGAGTACAAGAGGTGGAGCCAGGGTCCTCCTGATATGATTTCACTGACTGTCACCTGGTTGGCTCCATCTGCTTCCTTAGCCCAGAGATGGACCTTTGCATCTCTAACCCTAACAGATGTGCGCATCCCCCTGGCAAAGCTGGCTCCTCTTGGTACTCTCTCTTTCTACTCCCCTTATCTGAACTTGAACAATTTCTAAGAGACCAGGGAGCCAGGGCAGGCATTGGAATGGTGAGAAATAAAATGAAGAAGACCTAAAATAAAAAGCTGAGGAAATGAGGAGAGGACAGAGGAGAGAAAGAAGCCAGCCTGCATCTATAGCTATGAATATCAGTCTATTAAAATCTTGTTCCTACAGCACAATGATCATTTCCTGAGCACCTGTTTGCAACGTTTTCCGACAGTTTACATAACAGATGGTCTGCTTCCCCCCCCCCCCAGACTTAAGTGTTTTGTTTTGAAATCTGTTTTCCCATAGAACTGTGAAGGTTTTACACGTGTGAAAAAGGGACTTGAATTGAAATTCAAATTTGTTACATGCTTTCATTTTCAGAAAATTTCCTTGAAAAAGTAAGAGGCTTGGTCCTTTTAACTGCTATGGGGAGGGGGTTGCTTAACAACTAAAAGATTGCTTAACAACTAATTTAACAACTAAAAGATTACCTGTTGTAAGCTGAATGACTAGGAAAGCAAATTCTTTTTTTTTTTTTTTTTTTCTTCTATTTCGTTTTGCCTGTGTGGTGCCAGCTACAGAACCCAGGGCCTGGAGTATGGCAGGCAGCTGCTGTAGCCGTGAGCTGCACCTCTAACCCCAAAAAGCAGCTTCTGAGGTGAGCTTGTGTGACCAAGCCCAGGGTAGGACAGGGTAGGGGAACAGAAGAAGAAGATGTGCAGTGATATAGTCTCTACAAGGTCTCCCTTGATCCTGGGACACCCCAAAGCCCGCCTGACCTTACAACCAAGTGAGTACACAGCCCGTTCTGTGGGTGCTAGCTGCCCCCCACACCAGGAGCTGGCATCGGCCCAGGCAGCTCTCTGAAGCTTGTCTTGGTCGCCCAGAAGCCTCGCAACAGGTGCAGGAATAAATCCTTCAGTTCTGGGGGAAAATTAGTACAACATGGAAAACATTACATTGTCCAGTCTTTGTCTTTGTTCTTTAAGGGATTTTGTCATGCTTAGTGATGATTCCTAGAGATAATTTTATTTTATTGCTCAAAACTTTCACATATTCCAGAAAATCTAGTTAGATTGCAGTTTGGAGTGAAATTATTTTTAAAAACCTTTCCATGCGTATGTGCACATGAGTGTATCAACATACATGTAGACACACACATAGACTTTGCATGTGATTACATCAAACTGTTAATACTACCCACCCCCACACTTAGATAGTCATTGGTAGTTGGAGGGGAGGGAGCTTTAGAAGAGACAGCCTTTTCTTTTTCTTTCTTTCTTTTTAAAATTTTATATGGTATACCCATATTTCAAATTTTAAATTTAAAAACAAAGCCAAATAAAAGCAAACAAAGGACAATAGCTCCAGGAATTGAAGACTTGGTTTCAGATCTGCTGTGCCAACCATTTCTTGCATGCGTTGAGTAAGTCACTTGCCCTCCGGGCTTGATCCTCCTCTACAAAAAGAGGCTTGGATCAGATGACCTCAGAGATCCCTTCCACATCTAACCCTGCAGTCTGAAAGGGTTTAAAAATAGGTGCTCAAGGACTCATCAGTTTGAAGACATCCACAGAGATGAGTTAAGGGGTTTTCTTCACCTGAGAAACAGTATTGTTACCAGTAATCAATGTAATTGTGAGGTCTTGTTTTGTGTGTGTTTGAATTTTGTCTTTCTTCTCCTGCGCAATAGCACGTGAAATATATAACTACCTCAGACTAAAATAAGAGTCACAGAATTTTAACTTCACTGCAGGCTTTCCGCAGAGAGATTGAATTCAAATTTAGAAGCTTTAAAACAAAAAAGTCATCAGGATAGGCAAATGCAGTAGATTACAAAGTAACTCAGGCACTGAAAATTGAGAGGAGGGAGAGTTTTGAACTATAAATCTCTTTGCCACTCAGTGTTGTAATTAAAAGCAGTTCTCCCCACACACATTCAAGGGTAACTATAGACAGTGCTGAATAGGATAATTTGCTTGACTTTAGTAATCATTTCAGTGTATAGATGTATATCAAAATATCATGTGGTATACTTTAAATATATACAATTTTAAAAATGCAAGTGAGCCACATTTCTTTGAGAGTGTAATCCACAACTAGTACAGTACATATGAAAAGGGTGTTCTGAGAAAAAAGCACTTTGTAGTCAATCAGTCATAATTTAGGAAGCCTGGAATCTCTCCCTTCTGCACTGTAATGATGTCACATGGAGAAATATGTAATTTCAGTGTCAACAGACTAAAATAACAACCGTGGGATTCTGACTTAACAGCAGGCTGTGGGTAAACTGTGATACAAACAAACTGCACCATTCTGCAAGAAAGGAAGATCCATTTTAATATTTCCATTTTGCATAGACATTTTGTTTCCCAGCTCTTTAGAAGAACGAATCTGATTGCAAATCATTGAAATGAAGTTTCACTGCAAGCCAAGGAATATAAGACTGCCAGTCAAATGGAGGACCTGCTTGTGAAATGATTTGCACAAATTCTGCTTCTTGTCATGGGTAGAGTCCGAACCTGATCTGAGGTCTCCTGACGTCCAATCTCTTTTATCCCTTCATTCCCAGCATTTCTACTTGGGTGCAGGTGCCTTCTGATAAACAATTGGATTTGCCTGGTCCCTGCTTTGATGTTGCCTTTGCTTTAGCCTGCATGATAGTCCCCAGTTCCTACCCCTTTCCCTTCCTGCTACCTGTTTGTGAACTTTTCCCTCCAAATCAGTGTCCTCCGTTTCCAATGAGCCGAACCCCCAATGGGCACCATGACCGTGCAGTCTCAGCCTCCTTTTGAAAGTGTGCTCAGGTGTGGTCCCAGGACATAATTTCCTTCCCAATCTCAGGCCAAAGCATGAGCAGTTGTTCGTAAAGAAGATAAGACTTGGAACAGGTGCGTAGCTCAGTGCTAATGGCCTATCTAGCACAGGTAGGGACCTGGGTGCAGTCCCCAGCACCGAAAACACTGTCAGGGCGGAGAAAACCAAGATTCAAGCGAAGAACCAAGAGCACAACTGAGCTGAACAGATAGTTCAAAAAAATTCTATAAATAGAATCTCTTTGGGCCTCTGACCTTTAAAATACTGGAATTGAACAAAAAGATCCTTAGGATTTCTTTTTACTCTGAAGTTCTGGGCTGTCTGGAGCTTTGTTGGGGTAGTTTTTTGTCAGCAGTGTCTGTGGAGGGCCTGCTGAGAAACTCATTGCTGTTTCTGGGGAGCAGGTAAGAGGAAGGGGTTGTCATCTGTAGGGGGAGATCAGATTAACAGAGACCACTAGAGAGCCAGTGCGAGCAGTGGAAAGCCAGCAGAGCATGCCTGGAAGTGGAGTGGGAGCGAAGAGGGGTCGCTGCACGTGTGAACCCTGACGGCAGCGGTGGCACGGGTTGGATGATGGAGAAAAAGAGTTCAGACAACACAAAATGTGTTTTAAAAAAATAAGGTGAATGTTTCAGTTTTTAAAATTCATAAAAGGCACATTGCCGTGTGCCCCTCAAGACCTGCCCCTCACTTCGAACACTCCTCCCATCGCTCTTGCAGAGTTCTGGAGCAGCTCTGGAGGTCCTTTTCCGTGAGCGTCTTCAGCTGCACTGCTGTGGGTGCCTCAGTGTCCTGAACTGAGTCAAAACACTTCCCTATCGTGGTCATTTTGACTTTGGGCCAGAGCCAGAAGTTGCAGGGTGCCAGATCCAGTGTATGATGTGGATCAGGACCCATAGTAATGTTTTTATTTGACAGAAATTGCTGTAAATGGTTGTTCATTGAGGGGTGGGGAAAAATACAGTGAATGTTTAAATAAAATATCACTACAGTAAAAGACATCTTGCCATTAATCCCTGTCGAAATAGCAAAAATATTCCCCTTGCTTCAAACACACAAACACGCTGCAAACAAAAATGATGTCCCATCATTCATGACAATGTATCATTCACTGTAATAATTTTTAAAATTTTTAAAAATATTCACTGTAGTTTTTGATTCACCCCTTGTATTCTAGTGCAGGTTTTTTGATTCTTCTGTGTTCTGTAGCTTCTCTTCTATTCTCATTTAAATGTCCTACCTGTTGCCATTTCCTGAGGGTCTTGATACTCCAGGTGACACAGGGGAAGCGGGCCTTCTTTTTCTTCTCTAATGGGTTCTAATTGCTTGCCTACCTGTAATGGATGAGCTTCCCCAGACAAGAGCAAACTCGACAGCTCTCCGGCCCAGATGCAGCGTTTAAAGCAGTTTTTTAGTTCACATTTTGTATGTCCTTAACAACCAGACTTTGAGCCTGAAAAAGAAAAGAAAGCATTCTCTGCTGGAAGCAGAAAGCCGGCTTCTCATCCTCCTCCACAAAGAGGGAAGAAATAGATCTGAGCCACCTCTCCAAGCAGGAGTGTTCTTGCAGAACTGGAGAGTTTAGGCAGCACCAAGAGGGAGGAAAAACATCTCTCCCGACTTGGAAGCTGGCAGAGGGTGTGTGTGCTGGAGCGGGAGAGACAGTGCCATATGCTCAGTGCTCCCTTCAGGACCCCTCCTCTGCCACATATACCCGTGTTCCTTTTTCCCTTCTCACTTGCTTGTGCACTGATGCTCAGATAAACACCTATTAAACAACACAATCACATCCCCGCTCTGCTTCTACATCCAAGTGGATATTCATCCCCACGACCTCATCAAATTCCACAAACATAGTACTCGTAACATGGGATGACATAGGACACTGCCATCAGTGACACATGGATTCTGTCCTAAATAGTCTGTTAGTATAAGTCTCTACAGATCAATCCTCAGTCGCCAGCTTGGAGGAGCACAAATTACTAAGCCTACAAACACAGAAGCACTCAGACACCCAGTTAGATGTGTATACACTGAGATACAGTGATAGAATCATTGATTCCTAAATTATAAATTCTCAGGCCATTAATGTAGACATATTTTAGAGGGGAGCTCTATTTTCCTGTTTTTTCTTAGTTTTTCCTCTCTTTTCAAATTTTAAACTCAATGTCTTTTTATATTCCACTTTGTTCTTTTTTTCTTTTAGTAATAATTACTTCTTATCTTGTGAATTATAGTATTAAAAATGGAGAAACTGAAGAGGGAGCAAGTGAGAAAGGCACAGAGGGAGGAAGAGAGGGAGAGATGGAGATGGAGAGACAGGGAGACAGAGAGAGAGAGACAGAAAGACAGGGAGACAGAGATACAGGGAGACAGGGAGATAGAGAGACAGAGAGAGAGAGGGAGAGAGACAGAGAGAGACAGAAAGACAGGGAGACAGAGAGAGAGATAGGGAGAGAGAGACAGAAAAACAGGGAGACAGAGATACAGGGAGACAGGGAGGTAGAGAGACAGGGAGAAAGCCAAAGAGACAGGGAAATAGAGAAACAGAGAAACACTAAAGAACTTAACCTGAGAAACAAGTGAAGTGCCCTCTTAGCAATGAATCTTCATACTTAGTTGATACAGGGAATTTACTGATTTTGAAAGATGTTGTTCTTGGAAATGGATATTATGAATCACAATATATGAAATGACTCATTTTCTTACTTACTGCAGGTATTTGAAGAAAGAAGAGCTCTGCTTGGAAAATGGGTAAGCATTTAAAATATTATACATCTATGTCTGCATTATATTATCAATTTTAAGCTGTTATAATTTATAAGAAAACGATGGACCAAGTGGCTTATAAACAACTGACATTTCTCTCTCACAGTTCTGGGGACTGAGAAATCTCAGATGAAGTTTCCTGGCAGATGCAGTGCCCTGTTTATGGGCAGCCTGATAGGGCAGAAAAGGGTAGAGATTTCTTTGGGCTCTCTTTTATGAGGGCACTGATTCCATTCATAAGGGCTCCACCATCATGACCTAATCACCTCCTTAAAGCCTCCACCTCCTAATATCCTCACACTGGAGTGAGGATTTCAGTGTATGAATCTGGACTAAGTAAGGTATGCAAGCATTCAGTCTGTAGCTTTATCACAGAGCTGCCCCCAAGAATTCGGGTTGGATTTAAGGCTGTGCATGACTGATGCTTTCTGTATGCGCAATTAGGGTTCGGTCTGGAAAAGAGAAATCATACATTAGTTTAACAGACAGAAATTAATAAGAAGGGCTGGTTAAATAGATACTGGAAAACAGAAAACAGAAAGGAACACTGGGGCTCTATGGAGATAGAACTGAGGGTGCTACCAGCTTTACCCGTTCTTCAGGAGCTCAGAGTGAGGACTTCAGATCCCTGAGAGGATCTGGACTTGTAAGGAATGAAGTAGGTGATGTCACAGCTCATTCTAGTATATTCAAGGAAGTATGACAGTTCTGTGTCTTTGGAATAAAGCTGGGCCCTGGAATCATCAGGATGAGTTACATCTTCTTTTCATCAGTCTCCCTCCAGGGCCAGCCTCCCACCTGGCAGCATTTAGCAGGGAACCAGATGTGTTTGTGGAGCTCCAACCCTCTACATGCACAAGTGCAGACTAGGATTTAGATCTGAGGGTAGTGTAGTAACCAACACAGTCCACCCCTCTGGGACTCCCCATCCCTGGTCCCCGATTCATGCACTCCTAAATGTTCACAGCAGAATTCTAACAGCTTCATGGTTTTGCTGAACATGATACAAATATTCTTCATCAGAAGTGAGGGCTTTTTCATCTGATCCTCATATGAGAGACACATGGTCATCAAATTATCATGTGGTAGTCAAATTATCAATATCTGATTAATGTTTATTAATCATCAAATTCCTCTTCGTCCCTACCTAAATATTTTCTGTGACCCAAGAGAACTGAAAGCTACAGTCACACAAAAGCATGCACACAAATATGTGTAGCACAACATTTCAAGTAGTCACAAGGCATAAATAATTCAAGTGTCCATCAGTGGACACTGAATAAATAAATTGTGGTATATCCATGTGATGGAATATTACTCATCCATAAAAAGGGAGGACATTCTGACACATGTTACATACAACATGGATGAACATTGTGCTCTGTGAAATAAGCCAGTCCCAGGAGGATAAATACTGTATAATTCCACTTACATGAGGAATAGGCAACTTTGTAGACACAAAGCAGAAGAGCAGTTACCCAGAACTGGGTAGTGGTGGGGGTTATTGTTCAGTGGACACAGGATTTCAGGTTAGGATGATGAAGAAGTACTGGAAATGAGTGACAGGAATTGCTGCACAATGGTGCAAGTGTACCTCATGCCGCTGGACTTTTCATATCTAAAAAGGTTGAAATGGTAAATTTTAGGTATATTTTACTAAAATAAAAAATAAGGGGCTGGGGAGTTAGCTCAGCAGGGGCTCAGCAGGGGCTGGGGATTTAGCTCAGCGGCATAAGCGCCTGCCTTGCAAGCGCGTGGTCGTGAGTTTGAGCCCGGGTACCGATAAAAAATAAATAAATAAATAAGGATAAGAAAAGGAATGAGATAATATCATACGATGTATATAATAAACCTTGAAAATGTTATCTAAGTGAAAGAAGCCAGACAGACAGACCACAGTGTTTGCCTTTAATATGAAATGTCCCGAATCGGCAAATCTATACAGACACGAAAACAGATGAATGGTTTCCAGGGAATAGAGGAAGAGGGAAATGGAAAGTGACTGTAATGGGCATGTGTTTCTCTTTGAGGAGTGAAAATGTTCGTAGGTTAGACAGTGATGATGGCTGCATGACCTTCTGAGTATACTAAAACCCAGCCAAGTCTACATTTTAGAATACTGAATTGTGTGGCATAACATATATATCTCAATTTTAAAAGGGTATACCTAGGTTCTTTAAAACAAAACAAAATTTAACATGGGTTTCTCCAACCTAACATGTGTCATGATCTTGAAGTATTCCCTTTGTTGTTTTGTTTTGTTATTTGAGTCAGGGTCTCGCTACATAGTTCAAGATGATCTTGAATTCACTATGTAGCCTCAAACGTGTGGTGATCCTCTTGTGTCAGCCCTTTGAATACTGGAATTACAAACATGTGCCATCACACCCCGAGTTATTTTCTCCTTAAAGTTTACAGTCCATACCTGTCTGCCTTGGAGAGTATCTTTGCCCTGGACTCTAATGGAAAACAGATGCTTTCTCCTATCAGTTACAGAAACTCACTTAGCTGAAGACTGGCCTAAAGGAGCTGTTCTAGTGTTCTAGTTTGCCTTAGTTGTTCACCACATCTTTCCTCTGTTGTTCTACCAGCCCAGACTAAGGATATTTATTAGCCACTAAGTTTTTAAAATCATATTTATAGTATTACTGGAAGGAGCCACAAGGAAAGGGATAATCTGGTCATGGAAATGATCTTGTTTTTAATTTGTGGCAGTTAAGGCAGAGTGTCAACTCGACTGGCTTTGGGATCAACCTGGGGGATGGGTGGGATACACTTCTGGGTGCATTTGGGTGGTTATGGGGGTGTGGTCTTGGGGTCTGTGTCTGGTCCCTCACCTCTTCGTCTCTGGTGCTGTTTCTCTGCTTCCATGAAACAAACATCTTTGCTCTGTCGTGCCTTTTTCCTTGATGTTCCTGCCTTGAAGCCAGCCATGGACTGAGTTCCCTGAAACTTGAGCCAAATCAAACATCTCCTCTTTTAAATTGTGCGTGTCAGGTTCAATGTCTCAGCCATGCGTGAGCGGAGTAACATGCAACTGATCCCCTATTCTTTTGGTACTGGGGTTGAACTAGGGCTTTCCCACTGAGCTACATGCCCAGTAATTTTTTATTTCAAATTTTCATATAGGATCTCTCTAAGTCACTAAGTTGCCCATGCTGTGCTTGAACTTACGATCCTCCTGCTGCAGCCTCTCAGAGTGCTATCCTCCCATGTGTGCCACTACATCTGTGGCTTTTAACGCTTTGTACCTGATGTTTTAAAACCATGTAAATGTGTTTTCTGTTCAAAATAACATTTTACCTAAAAATATACAAAAAGTTCAGAAATTAAAACTGCATTTTTACAATCTGGTTGATATTTTATTTTTCTATTTTTTAAAAATTAATTTTGCACATTTCCAATAACTCATAAGGTGAGTTCTTTAGAATGACCAATTTCTGTATTGTCACTTGGAGTTACTATAACCAGAGCCAATGTTCAGCCCATGTTTGTTGGTGTGGCTGGCTACTTTCCTTTGATGGCATCACCAGTTATTAAATATTTTTAATATTCTAAATAAAATTTAAGATCTTTAGATTTTTTTTAAAAAAGATTCTTTTCATTCATTTGCCATAGCTAATAGAAAAATTACATTTGCAAAGATCACTGTTATCTGTCTTCTTAAAGAGAATAAACTAGAGATGTAGGATGGCTTCTATTGTGTTGTAATTTGCATCCCCTGATACTTATAAGATAGCACTTTTACATAAATAAATGATATTTATTTTTTGTCTTTTGCTTAATCGACTTATTGCATAATTATACTGAATTATATGGAAGTCTATGTACACACATAAAGCCTAATGTAAAAGAAATGTTTTAATGGGAGTTTTCTTGTAAGAATCAAATTTTGGCTTTAAACCTTATTTTTGCATTTAGAAATAAAGTCATTTTTTAAAAAGTCTAGATCATTCTGTATATCCCTATAATTTCAGCACCTGGGATTTGTATAGCAAAGACAAAATAATTGGGAGAACCCTAAAAGATTTCCTGCTTTACTGTTTCATCCTACTACTTAATCCCTATTCTCTCAAATTGCCTTTGCCCTTCAGTTCATGTTAGAAAAGGCAAGAACTTCCCAAATCTTCAGAAAACACCAACAGGAAATATACTTGAGTTTAAAAGAAAGCCTGTCAAACTTTAAGCTTTTGCTATGTTGTTAGCTTTCCTGTTGCTGAGACAAAATACCTGACACCTAAAACTAAAAGGAGGACATGCTTATTTGGCTCACTGTCCCGGGGGGTTCAGTCCATGCACAGTCAGCTGGCTTCAAGATAGAAACATGGAGGAAGGGCAAGGGGTAGGAAAGGTGCTCAACCCATGGCAGCCAGGAAGCAGTGTGAGGGGAGGAGCTGGGAGCAAGAATATACCTTGCCAGGTCACAGCCCCAGGACCCATCTCCTTCAACCAGGCCCCACTTCCTAACAGCCCTTTTAGCTCTCAGTGGATGAATCTGCTGCTGAGTACAGCACACCCATGACTCACTCATCCCCCAGAACTCCACCTCTGCACACATGAGATTTTGGGGGACATTCTAGATCTAAACCAGAAGGCAGAGTTTAAATTCAAGAGAGAAACAGAAAACCATTTTATGAATTCCATGATAGAGACAGGGTTAAAAGGGCTGGGGAAATGTATCTCAGCAGTAGAACAGTTGCCTAGCATGAGCAAAACCCAAGGTTTAAACGCCAGCACTTTTAAACAAAAGTGCCAAGTTGAGTGCACACCCAATGGCTACACTGAGTAGATCGTGGGGTACCCCTCCTACAATGAATGAATGAGAAAACTGTGGTCTTGAGTTCATTATTATATCAGGACTTCTGTGGCTGTATTTTGTTTTTTTAGAGTGCTACAGGGTATTCCGTGGGATGGTTATGCTCACTTTAATTGCTTCTGACTTGATGGACACATGTATGTATAAATACAAAGGCATGAAAATGAAACTTTGAAATTGGTTGTTTCTGGGGAATGAAGTAAGAGTTGACGAAGACGCCTGATTGGGACTTTTGCCTGATTTCCCCAAATCTGTTTGAGACTTTAAAAACAAGAACACAGTCATACTTTAATTGTGAGACTGAATCTTTAATTATAAGACTCAGAAATTCAACCAAACCAAGATGTAAAACCAATCAACAAAACATACCAAGCCTCCCTCTCTACCCTGCTCCCACACGCACCCTGTTCTCGCCTGAGTGCGATGAGTGGGACCTGACAGTTCTCCCAACTCTCTTGGCTTCCTGGAACTACAGAAAAAATCGTGTATCAGCCACTCTAAAAATAGCGTCTTCACAGTGAAAGTGAGTCAGGCAAGCCCTGGGAAACAGCACCCTTGGAGAAGGAGCTGGGGAGGGAGGTGCCACACCCCATGCTAGAACAGAATAGTAATGTTCCTCACAGTTTCTCAGCCTCACACACTGGATCCCTAGCTTTTATGTGATGATGGGTATTTTCCCCCTGAGACATGATGTCAGAGGTGTGAGAGACTGTCACCTTCCTGTACAGTTAACTCTGGCATGGGCTACCTACTTTCTGGATTATTCCTAGGGCCTTCTAAACCCCAGAGGGATTCTCCTACCATTAAGCTTTCCTGTGACTCATCTATCCACCTTGAATTCAAGGAATGCAAATTTTTTTCTATTAGCTTAAGCAAACACAATTACAAAGGTAAATCCCTTAAGGCAAGAATGCCTATCAAAGCCAAATATAAATTACCTTTGGCCATGGTAATCAGGGAAATAAATGAGGAACCAATGTAATTATCTTTTTAATCTCTGGAGGAAAGTGTTTTAATGTTTTCTGTTATAGAATTCTTCGGTACACATTTTATAACCCTAATGTTCTTTTATATTCATTCTCAGTCACTCATTCTGTAGTCTGAGTACCTGTTCTTAGTGGGCGGCTAGGAGAGTAGGCCAGCTAATCTCAGTCATTCTGATGTGACAGTTTGATGCTGTTTACCTTAATTTTTGCATATTACCTTCTTTAACCTTGATTTAACCACATACATATTATTTTTAATGTTGTTATGCCACTGTATACTAATGGCTGTTCTTTCTACAATGAGTCATTGTAGACGCACTAGGAAATGTGTATATATATATACATACATATACAATACACATGTATATATTTTACATAGTATTTGATCCTCACAGCAGATATAATTATTGTTATATAAAACGAGGAGATTTAGGGTGAAATACTTATAGGGAGTATTAGAAATAGTAAAAAATTGAGAGTGAGATATCCAGTATTCACTCCTGTCAGTCAACCCAAAATTCAGAAACTGTAAAATAATATTATTTAGGAGAATACTTAGTACACAATTCAGGATACACAGGTTCAAATAGCTGAAAATCAATGTTCTGAAAAAGGTAGGGAGCTTATACAGGCCAAAAACATCTTAAGCCATTATAAAATAATTCAAAGTGTTTGGAGAGAAACTCCTACTGAAGTTGGAAAGAATGCCAGGGCTGGAGGGGCAGGTCCTAATGTGACATTTGCAGTCGTGTCTTATGCTCAAATAAAAGCAAACACACACATGTACAGGCACTCACAGAAGTTTTGCAAAAATTACTTGACAGGGCTTGATAAGGGCTTGATAACCTCTGGACCCTGAGTCCAGCTGTCAAAGGATGGCGATTACTGCAACTCTCATCCCTAAGCAGCAGCTTGAGATCTGTCCCACTATGGGCCCCTGGTGCCATTCTGAAAAGCTCTTCCATGTTGTTCATTTGTGTTTTTGTTTTTGGTGCTGGGGATCAAACCCAGGGCCTCACACATTCTAGGCATCAATATTGCTTTTCCTCATGTTTTCCATTTATTTTCACAGTCTTTTAAGCTCCCATCACTCCTTCCCAAGCACACCATGCTGCCACGCTATTCCTGTCATACTGATACACCACAGTTGGTTCAGCTGATGCTTCTGTAGGCATTTTGCATTCTCTCTGGTTTCTTACAGTGACACTAATTATCTCATTTTTAAAAATCTTTATACTGTCTGTGGTCTCCATGTAATTCAGTCTCACCAGGGTCACATAGAACTGCCCAAAAGTAATTTAAAAAAACTAATTCCAATATTCATTTTGCTTCTTAAAGAAAAATCACAGGAGTCCAGCTCAGAGCTCATAACAATAACAATACTCCTCCAATCTCCACTTTCCTCCCCAGTCCTCTTACACTGCTTCCTACTGAAGCCCTGTCATTGTTGCTATAAACCCCATAATTTGCATTGAGTCACAGCCTCAGAGCTTGGACTCTATCTCCTCAAACCTCCCCTTTCAGCTTCTTATGCTTGGTCCTTCCCTCTGCCGCAGCCTTAATGTTCCGGTATCTCTGTACTCATGACACTCTGTCCCAGAAGAACTGGGAGTTGGAGATAAGAGTTGTGCAGAAATCAGGGGGCACCACATGAGTTCTATTCCTGTGGTATTTGAAGTTATGGTTTTTGTTTTTTCACTTTATTCAGGTTTTTTCTTCATCCTTTAATCATAATCTCCAATGTGAGATTCATTGGTCATTGCAAAGATTGATGATAGCAAATAGATTTAATCAAAAATTATTCCTACTAATTTTAAAAATACATTGTGTGTTAGGCTGAACTCAAAAGGTTTGAATTGAGCTTGGATGTGGTGGTGCACACCTGTAATCCCAAACATGGGAGGCTGACACAGGAAGATCACAGAGACACTGAGATCAACCTAGGTTGCACGGTGAGTTCAGAGACTGAGGGAAACCTAGGTGGTATAGTGAGTTCAAGGCCAGCCTGGACTATATAGCAAGACCCTGCCTCAAAAACATGGAAGAATGCAGGAAAGAAAGGACTAGACTGTATCCCCATAATGAATCTCTGCTGTCCGACTAAACCTGAAGCTCCTTATGTCCTGCTTTGCTTTTCCAGTTTGACAAGTGGACAGACTCTCAGAGGAGGAGAATCCTCATCGGCCTGTTGGAGCGCTGCTCGCTGTCCCAGCAGAAGTTCTGCTGTAGAAAGCTTCAGGAACAAATCCCAGCAGAAGCCCTGGACTTCACTACCAAGCTCCCCAGGGTGTTGTCCGTGTACATCTTTTCCTTCCTGGACCCCCGCAGCCTCTGTCGCTGTGCACAGGTAGGCACAGAGCAGCGGTGTGAGCACGACCTTAGGGATCTGAAGTCCCAGTGACTTGAGAGGGAAACTCACGCACGGGTATGCACAACACCGGGCGATAGCTGCTGAGTCTGGACAAGCCGAGTGATTCTCCACCTCCCTTGTATCTCACTGGATTGAGGGAACAAGGGGAGGAAAAGCCTAGGACACCAGGGGTGTTCACAGAAGAGTACCAGCCAGTGGGAGATGCAGATGCCTGTGAGCAGTGGTTCCTCAGCAGGGTGGGTTCTTAATACGAAACATTCTGCTGTAGCGTGATCTTAAATTGTAGACTGCAGGCCACGCACGAATAGAAAAGCTTCAAAATAAGGTGCCCGAAGATGTGAGCGAGACAGAAGAGACTCAGGTGAGCAGAGCAAGGTGCTGGCTATTATTTTCTTTAAAATAATTGTGTAAAAAAAATTCTGTAATACATTAAAGCAAAGTTAAATTATTTAAGTTATAAACCTGATAGTCGTTTCTGACAAGTTTTTTTTTTTTTTTTTCTTTTTCTTCCTTTTTTCCCTCTAGTTACTGGGGATTGATTCCAGGGCCTTCAAACTGAGCTACTTCCCCACCTGATTTTTTTTTTTTTTAAATTTTTGAGACCAAGACTAGCTACATTACCAGGCTGGGCTGAAACTGGAGGTTTTCCTGCCTCAGCCTCAGAGTCCTGGGATTATGGATGTGTACCATCACAACCGGCTGAATCTTGCCCTAGAATTTAGTCAAATCAGATATTATCTGCTACAATACACATATAATGTGTTGCTTTGGGTTTTTAAGATTCAGAAAATAAATGCAGTCAGAAGCAAATTGGCATTGTGACCTTTGGGTAGGGGCATAGAAAACAAATGCCAGTAGAAGAGGAGTTAATATCACACCAAAGGAAACCATCCACACACTTGAAAAGAAAGAAACAAAACAACACAGAACCAGAGGCTTTTATGAGAATTCTGCAATATCCAGAAGCCTTAAAAGAAAATGTGCAATTTCCAGCCTTGCTTCATTAATTTTCCACATTGTGAGCAGGAATGAAAGTGGCAAGACTTTAAATTGTGACCGTAAAAAGAAGAAATATTCTGCATTGGAAAAAAACCCCATCATAAATCAAATAGTAGGTAGGGAAAATATGTATTTCAAACAAAGGGCTATTTCCTTATTTTAAAAAATATATGCATATATATGCATATATTTTTAAATATATATATATATATATATATATATACATAAATGAGAGAAAATACTCAACCCATCAAAAAATGAGGAAAGAAATCAACCAAGTGGTTCACACACACACACACACACACACATACACACACACACACACACACACACACACACAAACATATATATGCAGGTGTCTCTACCATACTTGGGCTGCTCAGTCTCCTGTCTGCCATTTTTCGTGGCTCAGCTTGGCTCTCTGTTAGTGGTAATATTCTGCATTTGTAAGAGCTGGGGAAAATAAGAACTTGATGCACACTTACTAGACAAATTTGTACAACCACCATGGAGAAGAACTGGGTAGTGTTAAATTTTCCGACAAGAATTTCTTTTAGCGTGATTTGAGCAACTATCTCTAAGATGACAGTATGTAATCTATTAACTGGTGATTTCTTACTGGTTTTTTTTTTTTTTGTAGTTCTGTATTATTTGTACCCTTACACCACTTTGTTTTGTTTTGTTTTTTCTCTTTTTCCTTTTAAATAAAATTTAAAAAAAAAGAATTTCTTTTAGCACAGCCATTCCACATATGGTGGGTCTGTTTGTCAGATGGGTTAAAATGATTTCTCTGTGAAGATATTGCAGCACTGTTTGTCATAGCAGAAGGCAGCAAACCATAGGAAGGGCCACCAGTTGGGGACAGGGTAAATAAATTGCAATGATTGCCTAATTAGGGTACCAAGGAGAAAAAAGCAAAGCAAAGCTACAGAATAGGAAAGTTTTGTTATTTTGGAAAGAAACAGAAGAGATAAGCATTTGTTAATATTTGCCTAACATATTTCTGAACTGACCCATAAGCACCAGGCAACAGCAGTTGTACCCAGAGTTGCAAATGGAAGCTGGAGAACAGGTATGGGAGAGAGACTGTGTGTTCCTTTGCCTCTTTGAACTTTATATTACTGTACACATATTATCTTTCTAAAAATGACAGAGACATTTAAAAGAACATAGTAATCCAAATGTTCAGTAATAGAGTAACTATGGGCCGGGAGGAGAAATAGAAAATGCCCTTCCCGTGAGCCAGCTGGTACACAGGCTAGGAGACAAGAAAAGCCAAGCCCGCCCGCCCCCCAGCCCCAAGCAACCGGCTAACTCAAAGGAACACAGGCTGAGTTGATAGCAACTGAGGTACAAAAACAACTGAATGTTTATATTGTCTGATTGATTTTGCAGGCCTAAAGCTGATAGTCTGAGCTTCCATTTAGAGGACAACAATATGCAATATAGCAACTAGGAGGGATCTTCTGTCTCGTTTTTGAAATTCAATATGATTTTCACTGTTTTGTTTTGCTCTGTTTTACTGTTTTGTGTTATTCAATTTTAGTATAGGTGCTGCCAAAGCCAGCACTGTTTTGTTTATTTAATGTCTTGTTTTGATTGGTTTTATTCTGTTGTGTTTTGATTTTGTTATGTCTGATGGGATGGGCAGCAATTTTGAAGATAACAAGAGGCACTATGGTAGTCATGGTTGATTTCCTATTATCCTGTTTTGGGATCCTGTATTACTTTTGTTATTCTGTTTTGAGGGACTTTATTCTGTTTTATTTTGTTTGGTTTTGTTCTCTCTAAAATTAAAAAAATAAAATGTTCAGTAATAGGTACACATACAGCTATGTGATGAATTATTACAGCCATTAGAAAAGCTGTGGAAGAAGAGAGGCCCTGTGGCATTGAAATGCAGGAGGCAAGGTTTCATTGTATGTGTGGTTTCCCCATTTTGTTTCATACATGCCTTAGAAAAAACAACACTAAAAACAGAAGAACTTATACTGGTTTGTCAGTAATGATCATCTCTAGCTGATGAGGTTGTAGGTGTTGTTCTTATTAAAACATCTCAGAATTTTCCAAGTTTTCCACCATGGGGTTGTGGTCATTCGACAGAAATGCGATTTGGCCTAGCAGATTCCATCATCTGTATGCACTGTTCTTCAGTCTTCTTTCCAGCTGCTGAAACTTTTATCTTTTAACTTGCACTCCTCTTTCCCTGATTTCTTTCTTCAGCACATAATGCAGCACTAAACATGGCTGGAATCCCATAAGTGGGGGGTGGAAGGAGGGAGAAAGAGTAGAAAAATGGATGTAGGAAGTTGGGCATGGTGGCCTATTGGTAACCCCAGAACTCTGTGAGGCTGAGACAGGAGGATTGAAAGTTCTAGCTCAGCCTGGGTGACTTAGCTATTTGGTGAGTCCCTGTCTCAAAATAAACCATTAAAAAAACAAGAGGCTGAGGATGTAGCTCAGTGCAAGGGCTATGGGCTCAATTCCCAGTAATGCACCCCCCCCACACACACACGTATGGATAACAAGGGCCATTATAGAAAACAATCTGATTCTTGAGGGGGCACTTCACAGTTATTGATTATTTAACTTATCTTGAAAAGAAATCAGTCCTCCAGGGTGAAATTTAGGTTTGAAAATTAGTCGTCTTTGCAACTGTTACAGCTTAGCAGCAGAATCCTGGTCTCAGCTTTATATATGAGCGTGACCTTAGTTCCTAGTAAGACTTATCTGGGATAATTGCTGTAAATACTACCACTCAAGGCAGGGCCACCTCCCCCATTTCCTGGATGCATGGGACCAGCCGTAATACTAAGGGTATGGATCCTAAAGTCTTCATGATACACGCCGGGCAGTATTGGCAGTTGTGTTCTGTTTATAAAATGTGTGTTTAGAGAAACCGAAGAATGGAGGAAAAAGATGCACATCATGAAAGGAATACAATGGGCAGGCCCGAGTCTAAGCTACCTTCATGTGACTTTCATCTGACTTTCAGGACTCCTTTGGGAGTTTGCAAGTCTCACTGAGCCTAAGTGCCCTCATTTGCAGTGTGAGAGTAATAATTACACTCATCTCCCTAGATTGCTATGAAGATGGTTAATAGGTGCCTGGTAATCTTAGTAGACTCTAAGTCTGAATTAGCATTTAAAGTAACCCTACTCCAGGTAGGAGGTAACTAAGCTGTGATTTGGAGGAAAATGACAAAAAGAAAAAAAAAACAAAGAAAAAGTGTGCGTGAGGTCCAGAATGACAGTTAGGAACCTAGAGAAGTTGGGCAGGGGACCGAGGGAGACCTTTCTGTTTAATTGTCATTGTTCTCCCAGGTGAGCTGGCACTGGAAGAACGTATCAGAGCTGGACCAGCTGTGGATGCTGAAATGCTTGCGGTTTAACTGGCGCCTTGATTTCTCCCCGAGTCCCTTCGAGCAGGGGGTGTGGAAGAAGCACTATATTCAAATGGTGAAAAAGCTCCACGTCACCAAGCCCAAGGTACGCTTGGGAGAGAGCACGGCACACTCACGGACATCAGCTGTGATACAGTCTGGAACTAGGAATAAATGATCAAACCTGAAGCTGAGGGTTGGTGATAGCTCAGAGGGTGTTTCCTTCCACTACAATTCCAAAATGCTCCTTCTCTGAGGCACCAAAGCCCTTTTGCAGATGCCCATGTTAACTGAGAGCCCTCCCTTGCCACCTTCAGCCCATGGTGACCTCTGTCTGTCCTGGCCCCTGACGTCTGTTCCTTTAGCTCAGATACGATCTGACCTAGGAACTCTGAGTAATGTGCAGTATCTGTGACCTGTAGCCATCATATTTTACGTTACTAATTCTCATTTTTCTGTGATCCTACAAGGTGAAGTGGAGTTTGTTTTTAACTTCTATTTATTTATCTCCTAGAGTGCTGGGACTGGAGCCCAGGGTCTCACCCATGCCAGAGAAGTGCTGTACCATGGAGCTGTTAGCTTGGAATTTATTTGTTTGTTTATTTATTTATCTATTTATTTATGGTACTGGGGATTGAACCCAGAGCTTTATTGCTGAGCTACATGCCCAGCCCTTTTTTATTTTGAGACAGTGACTCCCTAAATTGTTAAGTTGTTAAATTGCTGGGTTTGAATTGAAGATCCTTCTGCCTCAACCTTGAAGGGGACAGGGATTACAGGCAGGTGCTACCACTCCCAGCTTGAATTTTTATTTTTGTATCATTTATAAGGGACAATTTTCCAATAAAGACATTAGTTAAGCAGAGGGGATAATAAGAGTGTAATGAAAGATCATTTTTAAAAAGTTTAGACACTAAGCAATGCACAGCATTTACATGAAATCAGAAAAAGTAAATAGTGAGGGATTAATTTTTCCTAGTGGCTTTCAATGCATTAAAACCAGTGTTTATTTTCACATTTACAGTCACAGCTAATCAGATAATTTATTAGAAAATTTTGAGTGCCTTTGTGGATGGCATTGTCTATAAACATGCATGGTTAGGCATCATTTTGTAAAATAGATGAGCTCCTAAAAAGTTATGTGTAAATTAATTTTTAAAATAATTTTAAACCTCAAGGGTATCACAGTCTATAAAAAAAACTGCAGGGAATCCTTTTAAAATTGAAAAAGCTTTTTGAAATATGAATAGTCAACTCCTAGGTTTGCGTTTCATTGTAGTTTCTTAAAGTACTCTAGCTACACTTAATGTAATAATAAACTATGTGTAATTAACATTGTTACAGCGGTAACAATAAAAGTGGTCTTTCTGATGTCAGGAGCTTGTGTGCCCCATGAGGCTTTATTTTTCAAAACAGATAGTATTTATTTATTTATTTATTTACTTCTTTAAAAAAATGTTTTTGAAATGGGATCCTGTTATGTTACCCAGGCTGGCCTTGAATTCACAGCAGCTGGGATTACAGGTGTTGTCCTACCGCCTGCTAAAAATATAACTTTAGATGCAGAATCTTAGAAGTTTTCAGAGCCACCCGGGTTAGGGCTCCTTCCCTTCTCAGCCTTTTCTGGAGTCTTGTTCTCAGACTCAGGGAGTGGCTTTCAGTAGCTGAAGCTCAGGCTGCCATGGGCAGAGAGAGGAATGCGATTAACTAGTAGACTGTGAAGGAATTTTGAGTGTAACATGTAAGACCAGCTTTATGCTTTGTCTTCAGAACAACAAATTTCCACAAAACGCTTATGTGTAACTATGTTTAAAAGTAGTGGGTAGGTTTTTTTTCCAATAATGGGTAGTTTGGATGTAAAACAGTTGTTACTCTTTGTGTGTATTAAATTTCTGTAGTGGATACACTGCTATATGAAAGAACTAAAGCTAAATTAGAAAGGCTAAGGTTAAGAAAATCAACTAATAGCTGGGCACAGTGGCACACACTTGTAATCCCAGCACTCAGGAAGCTGAAGCAGAAGGATCTCAAATTCAAGACCACCGGGGACAATATAGTGAGACCTATTATAAACAACTTGTTATCACTAAATTCAACCACGTAGATGAAGGACAAGATCCTTGAAAAACACAAACTACCATAACTACTCAATAAACAATAGAAAACATGAACAAATCTGTTCATTTTGAATTAAAATTGAATATATGGCTGGGCATGGAGGCACATGCCTGTAACCCTAGAAACTCAGGAGGCCAAGGCAGGAGGAGGATCATTATGAGTATGAGGCCAGCCTGGGCCACACAGTCAAGACCAGCTGAACTGCATAGTGAAACCCTGTCTCAAAAAGACAATAAATAAGCAAAATAAATAAATAAAAATATAAGTAACATAATTTTAAAACGTCCACCCCAATCCAGACTAGACAGATTTACCAGTGAATTTTCTCACACATTTACAGAAGACGTAATACCAATTCTGTGTAAACTCTTTCAGAAAACAGTGGGAGAAGGAACACCTCACAACTCATTACTCTGCTACCAAACTAGACAGAGACTTTATAAGAAAACAAAACCACAGATCAATATCTTGAACACAGAGACAATTTTGAACCAAACAGGAGTACTCTTCAAGGAATTAACAAATTAAATTCAGGAATAGGAAAAAAAAAAAACCCCACCAGGACTCGTGGGGTGTCCCTAGGGGGGAAAAATCATATTGGCCTAAGAGTCAAAAATCAACAGGGCTGGGGATACAGTTCAGGGGCACAGCACCTGCCTGGCAAACGTAAGGTCCTGACTTCAATTCCTGGTTCAAAAAAAAAAAAAAAATCAATTACTATAATCCACAGGTTGAAAGAGAAAAATATATAATCATGTTTGAGAGGATCTTAATGCTGTCATCATTTTTAATTAGTCTGGGTGGCTAGTACGTGATGATTGCTTTCCCAGTGGGGTGTCCGTGCATGTACACCACATACACACACACATATCAGTTCTTTTTATACCCCCTCCCTCACCCTTCCTTCCCTCTTGATCCATCTCTTAGTCCCCTTCTCATTGTGAAAGATGAATCATTTAGCTGGACGTGGTGGCCCATGCCTATAATCCCAGAATTGAGGAGACTGAGGCCAGAGGATCTCTGTGAGTTCAAGGCCAGCCTGGGTTCCATAGGGAATTCAAAGCAAAAAAAAAAAAGTCATTTGTAGGGGCTGGGGATTTAGCTCAGTGGCATAAGTGCCTGCCTTGGAAGCAGGCGGTCGTGAGTTTGATCCCCGGTACCGATAAAAAGGAAAAAGACAACAAAAAAAGAGTCATTTGTAGGAAAACAAATGGACCTTGAGGCCATAATGTTAAATGAAATAAATCAGACACACAAGCTTATGTATTGTGTGGTATTTCTTCTATGAGAAACCAAAAGCCTTAATAAATCACATGATCATTTTAATATGTGTATTCAAACAAAAATCATTTAACAAAACTCAACAGCCCTTTGAGATGAAAAAAGAATCCTCAGGAAGACTACAGGGCAGAGATGTAGCTCCCTGCAGAGCAAGTGCTGGCCTAGCGTGCTAGAGGCGCTGGGTAAACAAACAAACAGATTCTGTGATGTAAACAAAAATTTGGTTTCCTTCACATAAAAAATTGTCACAGATTTTGTTTTGTGCTTTTCAGATTTTTTTCAGCATTGGGGATTGAACCCAAAGGCACTCTTATCAATGAGCTACCTTCCCAGTTGTGTTTTATTTTGCAACAGGGTCTTGGTAGATTGCCCGGGCTGACCTCAAACTTGTGATCTTCCTGCCTCAGCCTCCCAAGTAGCTGGGATTATAGGCACGTGCCACCACATTCAGCAAAAGTTAATCATTGTTATATATAATTACTGGCATTTATATCTGAACATTTTCCTCTGAAACTCTTTTTTACATTACTATGTATTATTTATTTTTAGTAGTATTTCACTCAACCTCTTCCCGAGAAATGAGATGAATGTCCATTCTAGATGAGACCTGCTGGAAATACTGAATTAGTATAAAATGTCTTCTTAATCACTATTAGGTTATCATCAATCATTGAGTGAGTAAATATTTATGACACACTGTTGTGTGTGAGGTGCCGAGAGAATGGAAATCCTAACCTGCTTTCCCAGAGTCTAGTCTAGTGGCCTGGGACACAGAAACAGAACCAGAATCACAACCTGGAGCGCTGCATGGATCCCGCGATGGAGGTGCGGGAGAGTGATCCAGGCAACAGAGGGCTGAGGGTGCCTCCGTGCTGTCTTTTTCACTCCTTCTTTTCTCATCTTCCTTGTCTTCCTCCATGCCAGCGCCTTTCTGTCTCTGTTTCTGTCTCTATCTCAGCCTGTCTTTCTGTCTCTCCCTGCCTCTCTCTCTCTGTCTGTCTTCCCATCTGTCTTTCTGTCTGTCTGTCTTCCTGTCTCTTTCTCTCCCCATCTGTCTCTGTCTCTTCCCATCTGTCTCTCTCTTGCAGTCTCTCTCTGTGCCTCTATCTTGCTCTCTCCCTCTCTCTCTGTGTGTCTCTGTCTCTCAGTCTCTGTCTCTGTCTCTCCCTTCTCGGACCCAGGGCCTGGCACATACTAAACCTGCTGTAGGTTGTGCTATATCCCAGGCCCCAACTGGGGAATTTCTGGATTTTCACACACAATTGAAACAAACCAATTTACCAAGAAAAGCTTCCCTAATCTCTTAATGAACAAAAATTAAGCTCTTAATGGCATCCCAGCATACCAGTACCATTTCCCTTAGGCTATCACACGTACGTATAACCCATATGAATTTTACACACAAAAGGCAGACTTTCAATTTTAGAAAATAAGCAGAAGTGTCCTTCGGGAATGGTTCAGTTGCATAGCTGATGGAATTTATAATCCATTCCTGCTTGGTTCATAATTTATGTCAGAGATCGTTAGGGCCGGAGCACCTTTTTTTAATTGCATCTTTTTATGAGTAAAATGACTAGATAGACAATGGTATGGTAACAAAGCTGGCAGTGTGGGATAAGGTTTAATGTGTGGGCTCAAAGAAGATGGTCCTGGATGCAAATTCAAATTCTACTTGGTTGTAGTAAGAAAATTAATCAATTTATCTTGTGGTCAATTTTCTCTCCTGTGAAATAGGAGTAATACTGATGAACTGTAAAGATACTGTGAAGGTTAAATAATATAATGCCTGAGAACTGCTCGGGACTGCCTGGCCCATGGTCGGGTCTCTGGGGCTCAGGCTGCCGTGATCACCATCTCATATCCGTGGTGATGAGATGGCGATGCTGATGACAATATTGTTTGTTTTATTGTTGTCATTATTAGCATAGTGCTTTGGGAGCAGAAATAATACATTTTCTACTCTTAGACACCTCCAAAAGATGGCTTTGTAATCACCAATGTTCAGCCAGTTGCAAGCAGCTCTCCAGGGGATAAGCAGTCCCCTTTCCGGTCCTCCTCCACAAGAAGAAAGAATAACCTGGGGGAGAGAGAACTTCCACCCTGGCGATCCTCTGACAAGCATCCAACGGATATAATCCGTTTTAATTATCTGGACAACTGTGATCCCTTCCAGCCCGGCTCCCAAGGGTAAGAAGCCCTGTGTCCTTCTCATCTTCCCTCTTGTTCAAAACAATTTATGGACATTTCAGTAGATGAGAAGGTGAAAAATAAAAAACTTGCTATGAAACAAAGATTTTTCAACACAAAGAAGCAAGAAGCTATTGAAAAAGTAAACTAACCATTCTTAGGAAAGTTGCCCTTTGAATCATGATTTATTTGCAATTTATAGCTGTAATTACTTAATGTGGTGGTCTCATTTGATGTTTTAATATTAAATTCCAAACCAGCACCATATGGTTCAGCACCTTTTTCATGGGTAAGTGAGAGGCACACTTAATCAGTTACATTTGCTAAGATAGATCGATGACCTGCTGAGGTTGTTGTCACTGTTGTTTTTGTTACTGTTATTTTGAGATAAAGTCTTGCTCTGTAATTCAGGCTGGCATTAAACTCACTATATAGCCCAGATTGACCTCACACTCTCAGCAATCCTCCTGCCTCAGCCTCCCAAGTGCTGAGATTACAGGTGTGTGCAACCACACGTAGCTTTCTCTTGACTTTTCTATGAGATTCAAACACTTGTGACCAAGGAAACTTGAGAGGATGGGGTGGACTCTTAAAAAGATAAATCAACCTAGCACTAGGAGATGTACATCTCTAATCCCAGCTACTTGGGAGGCTGAGATGGGAAGATTGTAAATTTGAGCAAGACCCTGTCTCAAATATTTTCTTTAAACAGAGAGTTGGGGCTGTAGCTCAGTGGTAGATTGCTTGCCTAGCATGTGCAAGGCTCTGGGTTCAATTCCCGGTATGCTAAAAATCAAAATCAGATCTAGCTGGGCATTGAGGGGCTTGCCTAGCATCTCAGGTATTTGGGAAGCTGAGGCAAAAAAGACCACAAGTTCAAAGCCAGCTTGGGCAATTTATTGAGACCCTACTTCACAACTTAAAAAATAAAAATGGTTAGGGATGTAGCTGAGTGTTACACAGCTTGAGTCTCCAGAATTATAAATGCTAGTAATAATAGTACTAATTTTAAAAATTAATGTACAAACAAATATATACATAAACATATGCATATATGTACTTTTTGAATCTCCTCCTTTCTGAAATGTGTAGCATATAGTAAAACATTCACCTTTCTTTATCTACTTTTTTCCTGTAACATTATATCCTGGCGCTCACTCTGAAGTCATCTATAGGAATATTGTGGCTTTCTTCTTACAGCGCATAATACTCCATTATGTGTTGTCCCAGAGCTTATTCAACCGGTTCTCTATTGATAGACATTTGGCTTATTTCCAGTTGAATGCAGACAGTCTTTCAAGTCACAGGGCAAAGAAGTCAAAGGAACAAATATCTATGTATGCCACCAAAGTTGTAAAGTGACAATTTATACTTTTCCCCCGTGCCTTACAATTTACAGAAGAAGAAAAAGAAATGAAACGACTCCAGATTTCAGCCAACAGTCACATAATAAGAAAAACAAACTTCAGGACCAAGCTAGGCTAAGAAAAGCACAGTCCTTGGTAAGTATTGCTTATAAAAGATTCATCACCATAACCATTTATGAAAATTGCAGCATTGCTAATCATGTTTGGAAATGGAATTTGTTTTTGAGATTGGAATCATCGAGTGGTTATTTAAAGGCTGGGCTCTGACACTGACTGACCCAGGGACAGCTGTGAGTCCTCGAAGACTCCCTTTATTTAATCTTCCTGAGTCTCTGACCACTCATCTTTGTTTTTAAGAAACTAGTGAACAGAGAGGGATGGAACTGCTTTGAAAACCATACAGGATAAAGGGAGTATTTTCAGTGCTGGTTCTTTCTTCTGCTGTGTCCTTTGGGACAGGGCTGGGGGCCACCAGAAATCACTTCTGGAGTAAAGGTTCCCCGCCCAAGAGGAAAGTGAGTTTTCCTGAGCTCCCGCTGCCAGCACAGCATGATTAGAAAAGGCCACTGCAAGTGACTGCAGAATGATAACTTAAGAAATCTTCTTTCTCTAATTAAAAAACAGCAAATTGATTGCCTAATAAAGCCAGTAATTGTAACATGGGAATATCATCGATTCATAGTACAACTTCCCAAATAATGGTTCTGACCCCCCAGCAAGTCCCTTCTAGCTCATGGTGAGACTTTTTGGAGCAAAGATGGGATAAAAAGTTCCCGCCCAGAGATAAAGATTTAGGATGGGCCAAAGGATCTGCTCAGAAAAATAAATGTCGTGTGCACATCAGCTGGGAGAGGAGTGTGATACTCATGAATAAATCACTTTTATGGCCCTGCTTTAGAGCATTTTACTCTTCGAATAAATGTATTTTCAAGTGTTATGTTCCAAAAATAAAGATTAGGAAAATAAGAGAGCTAAAGATGAGTGTTTTAAAATAGAGCAGTCTGTATTCTGAGGCCAATTTTGTTGGACTGGGAAGGCTCATTATAGATGCCTATGCAGGGGCCCCAGGGAATGAGGTAGTTTGGAGAGAAGCAGTAAAATTGTCAGTGAAACCATTAATTGCAAAAAATAACTTTATGAGGCTTATCACACAGCCATTAGGAAGGACTCCCGCTCGGTTTGTGCTCCTGGTGGCCAGGAGTAGACGTTCATGAGGAAACGGAAGTTGAGGACCAGTAAATGAAGGAGTGGAGTTGAGGGTGATGTCTGCTTATAGGCCATCAGCACAATCAAGCATTCTTCCTGCTTTAGAACATGAAACCCAGTATCCAGGGATGGTACCACTGGGGAGACTGAGGCAGGAGGACCACTGCAAGTTCGAGGCCAGCCTGGGCTACATACATAGCGATTTCAGGAACAACCTAAGCCACAACGGTGAAAACCTGTCTCAAAAAATAAAAAACAAAACAACAGCCAATTCCCCCTCCCGCTAAAAAATGAAGCCCCACAAAACCAAGGGCTAACCAGAAGCCATTTGCAGGAGCCTTTGTTATTAATTAACCATGTCAAATGCTGGCAGATTGGTTAAATTGAAGTATTTACTGTAAGTGAAAATGTGGTGGTGATTAAGGCTGAAAGGGAAACCAGGTAGATGAAACAATGACAGAAAGCAATTAGCTGTCAGTAAATAAAGTATGTGAGCCGGGCTGAGGTGTGGCACGCCTGTAATCCCAGCACTTGGGAGGCTGAGGCAGGAGGATCCTTGTGAGTTCAAGACCAGCCTAGGCTACAAAGTGAGCTCACGGCCGGCCTGAACTGCATGAGTGAGACCCTGTCTCAAAAAGATGAAAATAAAAAACAAGTGCATGATTGTAATGTATCCACCAGTTTTATTTTTGTGTATATACTAACTGTAACAGTATATATGCTTATAGTTTTGATAAAGAGCAGAAGCATAATTAATCCCCCCCCCAAATATGCTGTCGCTTTTGCTGCACGCCTAGGATGTATTTCCCTGGGACCAGCCTGGCTGTCCCAAGGCACAGGGCTGAGTGCAGTTCAGGTCCCCTCAGGGTGGCAATTTGTCCTTGCAGTAGGCCATGGATCTCGGAGGAAACCAGCAGCCCAGGTGATGCAAGCTGATTGTGGCAGTGGAGAAATGCTGGCTGTGAGCTGGGGGAAAGAGGGAATGGGCACTGAGGGGTCCCCAGGAGAAGGAGGAGGAGGAGGCGGACAGTGGTAGCCTAGACACAGCCGAGGTGTGATTCCCTTGGAGAAACTCGGGTGCTCACCCAATGGAAAGGCTCTGTGTCATTTTAACGTGTGTAACTTGGGGAAGCCGGTGCTATAGGCAAGTGACATGTCCCCAGGCCTGACTGGGGGAGACACTTGTCAAAATGTCCAAGGCTACAACACTTGCTCTTATCCTGGGAAAACGGCGCAGGTGACAGTTGGAGACACTAATGTTTTGTCAAATGCAGAGACTGGAAGAGAAAAAGAGCAGAAGCAATAGAGAGCAAAAGACAGGGCTCCCAGGGGCCCCAGATCCTGACTGTCAGGCCAGGAGGTCATCTCCCCTTTTCCAGAGCCTTCCCAGGTAGTTCAGCTGCAAAAAGAAATGTCCTCGGGGAAACATTTTCAAATTTGCACATGCGGCTGTGAGCTTGCCTGGTTTCCGTTATTTAATAGGTGTGAGTTTGAAAGGGCAGCTAGTTTTCGCCTCTCCTTTCAGTTCTAGACCAGATCCCCGCGGGCTGCTTTAGTTACAGCCTCAGTTACAACTCGCTTGTCTCACCACTGTATGCCGTGAGTGACTGGCAGAAGGGGTGAAAGCTCAGAGTGGATTGTTCATGCTTTACAAGTTCCAGGACTTAATGAGATTTTATAAATATCATAAACTCCCATGACTGTTAGTTATGGTAATAAAGACCCACATAAGAGAGAGGATTTTATATATATCTAATGCAGTCAGATGTCATCCTTAAAGATAAAAACACACATGTGTGCATGCATGTGTACACACAAACGCACACACAATTTTTGGTAAAGACCCTCCTAAACATGGTAGTACATGCCTATAATCCTAGCCTCCCAGGAGGCTGAGACAGGAGGATTCCAGTGCAAACAAAACAATTAAAAAAGATCTTAACAGCTGGCCTCACAATTCCTCTTAGGAAAGAAGGGAGCCATCTGGTGGGGGAAGGTAGGGAGAGAATAAATCTTGAGGTTTCGGATCTTAGCAGGGACCAGGGGACAGAGTAGAGGACCTACTGTACTTGAGATTAGGAAAAGAATCTGTATTTTGTTGTTTCTACTTCTGAAAGGGGAGGAGGAAGAGAAGGAGCAGGTAACAAAGAGCTAAGAGAAGGAGAAAAGGAAACCCACTAGGTAGGGGAGAGGGACTGGGGTGGTAGTGATACCTGAGCTCCGATTTAGGAGGATGTGAATGTCCCTTTCAGCTCTGGGAAATTCTGCTCAGTTTACACAGGCAAGCTGAAGGCCCAGTAAACAAAAGGCGCTTGGGAAAATTCATAAAGATCAAGGAAATCGGATTTCCTGGGCCCTTGAATTTGACTCAGAGCACTTTGCCTCACATCTTCTTTTGCCTTCCTGTTTTGACCACATTCAGTAGAAAAACAAGTACCTTTTGTCTCACACTGAGCTTGTACTTGGGAGGCGGAAGTCCCTACTTTCTAGGTCTGGATTTGGTTGTGGGCTTCAAAAAGCTTGCTGTTTCCAAGTTGGCCTCTGCCCAAGCAGCCAAAGCCTTCCAGCACCTGCTTTCTCTGATGCCTTAGATAGGACTCTGTCTCTTCCAGCCCTGGAAATTACCTTCCACACCTCTCTTCAAGGCAGCTTTACTCTGAGCACCCTGATGGCTTTGCCCCAGGAGTGCAGGTAGCAGAAACTCCTGCCTCCGAGTTTCCCTTTCTCTATATACAGATTTTGCTGCCTTCAGGCCCCATATGCGAAGGACAGCCATTTTGAAGTGACTTTAGACCGCTGAAGATAACCCATTACGATTCTTGGGTTTTTGGAGTCCATAACAGTTACTTTCCTCGTGGGGAACTGATACATGCACATAACACATTTCAATTATTTTCTCATTCCTCTCAAGTTGTTTGTTTTGTTTTGGTCCCAGGAATCAAGCTTGCAACCTGGTGTTTGCCCTGATAGGCACTGTGCCCGAGCTATATTGCTGGCCATGATATATATTGATAGTACATATTTAATAATTAACACATTTGTGTTTGCCCCATTGAATACCATCCTATTTTTGTTACTTTGCCTTCTAAGAGCACAGATTGGAATTCAGAAAGCCTTGTTTTTATACCTCTTTCCCTTTCCCAGGAGATCTGTCTCCTTCTTTCCTACTATCTAGCTTTTGTTTTACCCTTTATTCCTACTTTGGGTTTCTTATAGAAGAGAAATCATGCACTATTGAAGCCTGTGTGCCTGGTTTACTTCACTTAACATTATGGTCTCAAAGTGTATCCATTTCCTACAAAGGACTCAGGTTTATTCTTTTAGCAGAGTAGTACACAATTGTGCATAAATACCACATTTTTATTTTTCCATTCGTCTGTTGTTTGTTTTTGAGGCAGAGCCTCACTGTGTAGTGCAGGCAGGCCTTGAACTCGCTTTTGTAGCCCAGGCGGCCTCAAACCTTAAAGGTGATCCTCCTGCCCCAGCCTCCCGCGTGCTCGGATTATAGGCCCTGTGCCATCATGCCCACCAGCACTACTGTGCCCAGCCCAAATTCTGAAATGCTCTAAAACTCAAAACTTCTCAAGCACAGTCATAACGCCACAAAGTAGAAAATTCTGCACCTGACCCCATGTGATCAGGTTACGGTAGAGACGCTGGTGCACAAAAGCGTCCTATGAGCTCTCCTTCAGGCCGTGTCGGGAAACACATGGAACCTAAATAAGTTTCCAGTTTCCACGTGGACCCCATCCCCATTCACAGACACACTCCAACAGCTGAACATTTTCGGTCCCAAGCAATGGTGACAAGGCCACCTCAGCCTGTAGTAGCAACAGCAGTGAAATCACCCCGCATCTCTGCCTGAGACCAGGAGGAAAACACAGTGATCTGAGCCCGGGCTGCTGCAGGACAGCCCAGGAGGGACAGCT